AGAAGGGGCACAAAAAATTGTCAAAAATCAAATTCAAGACATATGAATTTACAACTTGCACCTATTAATACTTGAAATACCTTGGGGTTCGACCTTTAAAGCTTTTGAAAGGTTAATTGTCGNAAAGTGGATGAAAAATTAATTATTTGTGTTGAGATGTATCTTATTTGTCTATATATTGTATATACATTAATTTCATCTAAAAATACAATGATAAAATATGTGTGTATATATATATATATATATATTAAAAAATTAAAAAATATTTAAATTAAAAAAATATTTTTTTCATCTTAAATATAGGTGAAAATTTTCGACTCAACACGATGATACAACTTGAACTCGACACAAATTTTATAACACGAACTTGATTATAATTCAACACAAACTTGAAAATGACCTAACACGCGAACAAAAAATATAAAAAAACTCATAATTTTATGATTCAACACAAATTTGACACGACATGATTTGATTGTCACCTCTAATATTAGACAAAAAAAATTGGTCATTTTTATTTTTCATCCATCCAACTAAACACAAAGGAAGGAAAGTGTATCATTCCTACTTTTCATCCTTAAAGATAGAAAATATATCTCTCTTATTTTTCATCATTTCTACTTTCCATCCTTTCTAACAAACGAAGCATAAGTCTACTTGATCAGGCAGTGTATGACTCATTACCCACTGTGATGTGCTTGAGTGGGATCCAAATGGACTCCTAAGGTAATTGAGGTTATTGGTCCGAATCAATATATGGGATAATGAGACCAGGGCTAGCCCAACCCTTACGCAACTAAGTTGCTTGTCTAGGGCCCCGAATTTTAGAGGCCCCACAATATTTATCCCTTTTGTATAATAGACTTAATTTTTTCTATTTTATTTTATATTTTAGATATGAATAAAATTTTTAGGGCCCAAATTTTATTAGTTTAAATCAGTATCTAATTTTATTAGATCCAAAAACACTCTATACTTGGTTAAGCCCAAATTTTAGAGGCCTTCATAAAATTTATTACTTTAGTATAATAGTCTTTTTATTTTTTATTTTTTTTTTATTTTAAATATGATTCAAATTTTTAGGACTCGAATTTTATAGTTCAAATTAATATCTAATTTTTTTGGGTCCAAAATTACTCATTCGTGTAAGCTTTAATTTAAATTTTTTTAAATATTCTGGGTGTGTTAATAGTTGTATTTCACCCACTCACATAAAAACTTTATATTCATTATTTCTTCTGGTGAAAATTTATAAAATTGGTTCCTTTTTTGTTTTAATGTAAATTTTCAGTCCAAATAATTTATATTTAAATTGTCTATGTTATTAAAGTTTTGTACTTCATGCATGCACATTGCTCATGGGTAAAGAATGATTCTTTGTTATCTTAAAATTATTTTTTGCTCACATATTCTGTTATTAAATTACTTGTTGAAAACTTAAATTGATGAAATTTTATTTACAATCAACAGAATGAATTAACAATATTATCTATTAAAAAAAATTATTGTCAAAACTTGAGTATAAAAACTTGATCAATATTTTAAATTTTTTAAAAAATAAAAAATAATTTTTTAAAACATAAAAAAATTATAATAATTTAAAATAAAATATAGCAATAGACAAAATATTTATAGGGTATCATATGAAAATTTGTTCTAGGGCCCCGCTTGACCTTGGGCCTCCTAAGATCTGGTTTTGAGGAAGGGGTTCACAGAGGGAAAAAAAGATCTCGGGTACGAGCGCATTAGAAGCATCGCATAAATAACCTTCTCAAAGTCATGGTCCCGCGATTACTAGTCGCAATCATTAACATTGAGAATTCCCTTTTGGCTCGGTTGTCACACTCTTTCTTGGGGGGTCGCTTCAAGTGTGCATTTGAAAAACGTTACATCTGTCTAATTAATATTGGGACACGAGACATGCGGTTAGCGGCCACTAGTACCACTACGTTTGAGATAGTTGTGGGTTGACACGAATGTTAGAGGGTCACGGCGGACAGCCCTACTTGCTCGAGCAAATATGCTATAAACATCCGCGTTATTCACCCACTATGGGGAGAAGATTTTTGACTAGTAAGAGCATTTTACTCTATCCACCTACTATTTGCCCAATTGATTGGTCCTTTTATTAAGAGGTTGTTTGAATTTCTTGATATAAACACGTGTGACAATTTTTTTTTAATTCTCCACCTCCAAATTTCTAATATTGCGCTGGGTACAGTTCTGTATCATTGCTAATGTCATATCCTGCCCAGAGATATTCAACCGCCCGTTATCAATGAGAGGAATGGCATAGCATTTATCTTTAATTGCAAGTTATCCATTCATCCCATCCAATCCTTTTCCAATGCACTCAAGCAAAACACAGCTTTCACTGTTTCTCATGGTTAGGGAGAGAGAGAGAGAGAGAGAGAGAGAGAGAGAGAGAGTCCCCCTTTTTGCAGAAATTAAGAAAATAAGGGTTCAAATAAGTGGATGGTGGATATCATTAAAACTTAAAAGAAAAGAATGACAGGTGGTATGAATGATCATCCCTCCAAAGATCTGAAAAATCTTCCATCGTTTTATTGTTATTAATTATAGATCGTTATCGAATCAAAGATGTTTGGATGAAAAGAGTGTATAATAATCAATAATATCGGTTATTAATTTTTTTTTGTTCAACGATAAGAAGTGTCTCGACTAGTTTCTGTGAATTTTGATTAATTCCTTTCTTGGTTCGGTCAAAGATAAATTATTCACATTAACACTAGGTTATTCACGAAAGATAAATCTCTCGTAGAAGGGGCACAAAAAATTGTCAAAAATCAAATTCAAGACATATGAATTTACAACTTCCACCTGTTAATACTTGAAATACCTTGGGGTTCGACTTTTAAAGCTTTTGAAAGTTGCATTTTTGAAAGGTTAATTGTCCCTAATCACTTGTGAGGTGTGTTGGATGCAAATAAATGAAAACTGAAACGCTGTCTACTGTTACAATTAATAATATGAGTTTTTAAATTTAAAGTAAAGTGGTAATTTTTTTATAATTTTTTAATGCCAAAGTTCATTGGCCAAATAATAATAATAAAAAAAGTTGAAACTGTAATCAATCGCGAAAAATAAAGGTGATAATTACTAACACGATTCGAAATTGACACGAAAATAGTAGATTATGAGTGACCATTTTTCGATACAAATTCGTAAATAACACGACTTGTTAACATGAAAAATAAATTGATCGAGTTAGTGTCAAACAAAAATAACACGATTATCATGTTTAACTAATATTATAAGAATAAAATGTCAAATTTTTGTTATTTTTTTCTCAAACATTGATATACAAAAATATTTTTTTACTTACTCTTATTATTACTAGTTGATATATATGTGTTTTGCACTTGGACAATCTCATTACGAATATTTTGTTTAGCACCAAAATTAGAAAAAGTGATCCCGACATTGCAAACAGTCAAAGTAAGTTCAATAAGATTATGATTTTAAATTTTTTTTTTACGAGGTGGGGGATCAAAGGTTAAAAAAGTTTCAATCTCTATTTGTTTGACCCAAAATAAATAATATTTTTTAAAAATACATAAACCAATGTATTTTCAAATTTTTTATTGTTCAATATAAAACTCAAGGAACAAACTTCTCACGCAAAAATCCAATTAATTATTGTGATCATTGTAATTTCAACACTTTAATTTGACTTGCATTAAGTAAAAACAGTAGAATTAAACTCAAAAAAATTGTATATATATATATTGATTGTTATTTTTGTAAAATCTAATTATATTTGGCATTGTAAATATATACCAAATGATGAGATAGACTATCTAATACATGGTTATATCAAATACATGACGAATTACAAAATCTTACTTCTTTAACTTCTTGTTATTCAATATTTTTGCAAATTTCTTGAAATACTTTTTCCAAGATAAAGTGTAAAAAAAATAATGAAGAATTAAAATTAAAAATATATAAGTACAATACCACAAACTCTTTTTTATTTTTTGGGAAATCGCAAGCACCCACACGTAAATAGAGGCAAAGGTGATTACCTAGCAATTGAGTTTTACGATATAGAGAGGACATATTCACATCAAATAAATACATCAAGCGATAATATGTTTATAGCAATCATTGAAATTCGGTAAGAATGACAAAAATTTTTTTTTATAGTTACCATAAACTCTTAGTNAAATACATCAAGCGATAATATGTTTATAGCAATCATTGAAATTCGGTAAGAATGACAGAATTTTTTTTTTATAGTTACCATAAACTCTTAGTTTTCCATATCCATAAAACCCAGACATCAACTTAGGAGGAAATTTCCAAACTTTCTTGTAGTCACGGAAAAATTTTGGCCTACAAACATTAAAACCTCAAACAAAACATTGTGGTTAGAATTAGATGATAAAAAATTGTCGAGTTCATTACGGGGAGAAACAAAAAGATGGTAATGTACTACTTTGCTATTACTCAAAATGATATGAAGATCATTAGAGTTAAAATTAATAATTAAAGTTGAATAAATACATAAAATATTAAATATATGCACATAACTAACTTAAGGAGATGAAATAATAATAGAAATAATAATAGAAGAGTATGTAATTAATTGGAGAAAATGAAAGAAAATTGTTCAAGAGAATTACATATTTTATGAAGAATATTATAGTCAATCAATTTTTTATTTATTTAGCTTAGTAGTTATAAATATTTATTAAATTAATTTTTTATTTATAAAAAAGTACGAGTGTGAGTTTGATTTAGAGATAATGTAGGATTAAACTTTAAATCTTTTAATGTTAAATTTTTGATTCATACACAGGACAGGCTTCTAGTTAAAGCAAAAGCAAAGAAACATAATGGCTTCTCATACGACGTCGTCGAGTTGTCAACCCAATATCGTTGATTGAATATCACTATGTCTTTTAATTTCTCTCCTCATCTCCCTCTACCCACAGAGAGAGACAGAGAGAGAGGTTGAACGGAAACTGGAAAGAATGAGGCCTCAAATACTGTTGTTTGGGGACTCAATAACAGAGCAATCATTCAGATCAGGTGGTTGGGGTGCTGCTCTTGCCGACACTTACTCTCGCAAGGTAATTTAGTTTCTTTTTTTTCATTGCTTTTCTTTTCTTTTGAATCATATACCCATTACCATAGATCGCTCATTTTGTGCTTTTTTCTCACGTACTATGTATGTATGTATGCATCTGCACAGGCTGATGTGGTGGTTCGTGGGTATGGTGGATACAACACTAGATTGGCCTTGTTTTTGTTACACCAACTTTTCGCTCTGGTAATTGACAAGTTTCGCATTTGTCTATTGGTTTTTTTATATACATGATCACATTCATGGTTGTATCTTAATTGCTAAAAGCGGTGAAAATTTGAGTTGAACATTGCTCATTTTTGAGTTATTTGTGATTTTGGTAGTAATTTGTTGTTTATTGGTGTTGGGCATGATTTACTTTGGTTTTTTTTTTTTTTGGATATGTGCAATCCCTTTTAGAAGAAGGTGGGTTAACTAACGAAAGAAAGATGGAACTAGATGCATTCTTAAAAGAAAGTGATTTGCCTCTCCTATAATGCTATTATACTTCTAAAATTGCTGATGGAATTCTTGGTGAAGTTTGTGTATGACTTTAAAGGCGCATGAATACGGTATTGGTAATGGATGATGCTCTTGGATCCTCAAACTTATTAACATTTAAATACAGGCCAATGGTGAATCAGAAGTACCAAAGATTGAAGCTTTTCTTTAGACTGTCAATTATAAGAATAGGCCAAGCGTTAAAAGGGAATGTTGGAGTCAGCTTGTAGAAACTTGCAACCCCTTGCGGAAAATCTGTGGAGCATGGTGCATATTTGATGAACTATAAGCCTGGGTTTAAAGTTATTTAAGATGAAGATGGTCACATGTTAGGATTGATCGGTGCTAAAACTTGTATTGACTGGAAAACTACTCCCACCTCTAGCGGCAACAGGTTTAGTACAATCCAATACTTAACCACCCCATCTATTTTTGTCTGGTTAGTATAATTCTCTGGGCATTCATATTCCATCTTGGTTGAAGGAATTGTGGAACCCATTTATTTTGGTTTTATTTTATGGTAGGTGTTGGGTGAACTGAATTAAGTTAGAAACCAGTTTTTTATATTATTGTATATTTAGATTACAGACATGAATTTCACTTCATAGCATATAGACGCCAAGGGGGTTGCACATCACTCGGGATTCAAGTGGCTAACAAGCTAATAAGTGGCACTTGTAACTGGGATGAGGCCTTTTAAAACCTGACCCATTTGGATAAAGCTGGTGCTTGTCCTCAACTGGCATGAGGCTTTATAACATCCTAAATTGAGCCAAGCATATAATATCATGTCTAGTTTGGCCAGCCTATAATGTTAGCCATCCTCTCAAATCCCACTTTGCTTAGAATCCGATGGAGTAACTAGCTAATTAGTTCATGCTTATCCAAAATTGGCATGAGAACTTTTAAAACTGTGAGTCCATTGGCAAAAGAGACAATTTTATGCCCAGTTGGTTTGGTTGTCACAGTTGGTATCTGAGCCTGTCATTAAGGTGTGAGTGTCAGGTAGTTGGCAGAGATTGAGTGCACCTTGATCCAGCAAGGCAGTAACTTGGCCCGTATTGATTTTGCAGCTAGCATGATGGGAGTCATCCTTTAACGTTTCATATCACCTGGGAACCTTTTTAGTGACGGGCTAATAAGTGGACGTTCATCCTAAAATGACACGAATCCTTTTAAAACTATTGTGGCCATAAGGCAAAGGGACACCGATATTATATATAGTTGACTTGGTGGTCTCAACCCCATAGAAAAGTTGCCGTTTTGTACATGTTATCCTAGAAAGTTGGATGAGGTTGGAGGTTTGATTCTTGTCATTGTCTATTGAAAGCTAGAACCTCTTGCTATCATGCTCTCTGATTTTAACAAGTTTCTAAATTATAACAAAACCACACTTCCAATGAGATGATTTTGGTTGGGTTTTGTGGCCACCAAATTGGTCTTGGTTTAGTTATATTGGAATGAGCTCTACATTTCACTGGATGATGATGGAGCCTAAAATAAACCAAACTGGACTTGGTTTTACCTCCTACTCATAATTAGCATCCTTTGTTGTCATTCGTAAGGGGGGTGAAAACGCCGCAAGATTATCATGACGGAAAAATGATTGAATTGATATTTTAGTATGATTATGCACAAGTATTTGGTTGAATTATGTTACCATGTTAGTGGTCAGGTATGTATGGTCCATTGTATTCTATGAGTAAAGACTATCCTGTAATCCCTAAATTGGCATTGTTAGGCCTAGAATGTTTACAATAGTCAAAATGGGAAAGTTTGTTATTTTGCAGGTTTTATTCTTCTGGAAGTAGGAAACTGTGAGAGTGTATATAAGTTTTTATGATAGGGGTATATTTATCTTTTTGGGTAGTTTAGGGTTTTTCTGATTTTCTTGGGCTATATATATTCTTGTAATCTAGTTTATTGACTTAAAGGAAGTATTATTTGTATCTGTTAAGAATACTAGGGTAGTATGTGTAAATTGTTAATAGTAAGAGGATGTATGTGTAATTCTTATTACTGTAGGTTAATTATAAATACAAGTGATGTATGAGAGTTAGGTTAAGTTTTTAACCTCTCTCTTTCTCTCTAATATTGTCTCTAATATTGTGTTATGTTAATTATCTCAGCTTAACATGGTATCAGAGCCATTGACTGTGTGGTGGTGACTGTGTTACTGTTGTGGCATGTGGCATGTGGTTGTGTTATTGTGTTATTGTGGTGGTGTGGCTGTGTTAGTGTGGTGGTTCTTGTTCATTGCTAACTATCGGGATAGTGGTGTGATCGCTCGTGGTGGTGGTGCGATTTTTGTTCATTGTCGACTGTTGGTGTGGTTGGGTGATCGTTTGTGGTGATGGTATGGTCTCTGTTCGTCGTTGAGTAGGGTTGTTTGTGGTGGAGGTGTGATTTTGGTGTGTGCAGTCGAAGACTAGTGTGCCGTTGAAGACGAGGGTTTCATTGGGAACCCTAATCTCAACGAAGAAGAGACTCCATTGAGGTTGGTTCGGATCGGGTCAAACCCAGCAGTTTGGTTCGGTCCAAGCCCAGCAGTTTGGACTTAAATTATTTACTTATCAGTTTGGACTCCATTGACTTAAATTATTTTAAGTCGCATTCCAAGTCTAGGAGTCCAAGCCCAGCAGTTTGGTTCGGTTCAGACTAAGTTCAACCTGGTTCAGTGCTTCAGCAAGCCAAACAGGCCCGGTTCAGTGCTTCAGCAAGCCAAACATGCCCGGTTCAGTGCTCCAGTAAGCCAAACCGGCCCGGTTTAGTGCTCCAGTAAGCCAAACCAGCCCAGTTCAGTGCTCCAGCAAGCCAAATCGACCCGGTTCAGTACTCAAGCAAGCCAAACCGAACCGGTTCAGTGCTCCAGCAACCTTTTCCAGCCCGATTTAGTGCTCTAGCAACCTTTTCCAGCCCGGTTCAGCTTTCTAGCAGTTTCTTTTCCTCTATTTTAGCATTGTAACTCTTCCTGTTTACTATTTGCTGCATTATTATGGAACCCAAGCAAGATAATAGGTCCCTTACTCCATCTTTGTCTTCTCCAACTCTTATCAATGGTCCCATGACCTCTTTCAAACTTAATGGGACTAATTACACTTTATGGTCTCGATCTGTTCAAGTCTTTCTTCGAGGCAAAGGATTTAAGAAATATCTAGTGGGTTCTAAACCTAAGGAAGACACTCCTGGGTATGATCAGTGGGAACAAGAGGATGCTCAGATTATCTCTTTATTGTTGAATAGCATAAAGCCCACTATTAGCTCTTCTCTGCTCTATCTTGATACTACCAAAGAGATATGGAATCACTTGGCCACTATGTATTTTGGTACAGGTAATTTTATCCGTGCGTATGAGGTGTGTAAGGAGTACTTCCGGTTGGAGTAGGGTACTCTGAGCCTTGCGGATTATTACTCTCATATTCGAGGAGTCTGTGAGGAGATGAAGACTTATCATCCGTTTACTACTGATGCAACAGTTTGACAAAAGCAACATAAGGACCTGAATGTTATTAGNTACAGGTAATTTTATCCGTGCGTATGAGGTGTGTAAGGAGTACTTCCGGTTGGAGTAGGGTACTCTGAGCCTTGCGGATTATTACTCTCATATTCGAGGAGTCTGTGAGGAGATGAAGACTTATCATCCGTTTACTACTGATGCAACAGTTTGACAAAAACAACATAAGGACCTGAATGTTANGGTTAAGTTTTTAACCTCTCTCTTTCTCTCTAATATTGTGTTATGTTAATTATCTCAGCTTAACATGGTATCAGAGTCATTGACTGTGTGGTGGTGACTGTGTTACTGTTGTGGCANTCAGGATGACACCTCTGTTGTTGCTTCCATACCTCGGTCAGCTCCACCAGACACTGGGTCAGTTATTATTACACTGGGTCGAGAGGAGTATGCTCAGTTTCTTTCCCAGCAACAAGCTGTTCCATCTCCTTCCACTACTACTTTTGCCCAGTCAGGTACTGATTCCACCTGTTTATTGTCCTCCACTTGCAGTACTTGGATCATAGACTTTGGCGCTTTTGACCACATGACTGGTGCGTCTGACGTTTTCTCTACTTATCAGTCTGCTACTTCCACATGTAGTGTTACTCTTGCTAATGGTACTTGTTCTAAAATTTCAAGTCTGGGGACTACTCACTTGAGTCCTGATATGTCTCTATCTTCCGTGTTATTTGTTGCTCAGTTTCCTTTTAGTTTACTTTCTATTAGCAAGATTACCCGTTCTCTCAATTGTTTTGTAACTTTTTATCTCTCTTATTATGTCTTTCAGGATCTCAAGACGAAGAGGAAGTTTGGTACGGGACATGAAGCTAGTGGTCTATATTACCTTGACTTTGATTCACCTACCCGAGCACTACAGACCTCGTTGTCTCCTCTTCAATGGCATTATCGTCTTGGACATCACTCTCTCCAGAATCTGAAGCGCCAAGTTCCTAGTTTTAGTTATGTGTCGTCTTTATCTTGTGAAGTTTGTCAACTTAGTAAGCATCACTGTGTGTCATTTTAGTCTAGAGTCAATAATCGTGTGTCTAGTCCATTCTGATGTATGGGGTCTAATAAAGAATATTTTATCTAATAAATATCCTTATTTTGTGACATTTGTGGATGATTATTCTCGTGTGACTTGGTTATTTTTTATGAAAGCTCGGTCTAAATTATTCTCTATATTTGAGACTTTTCGTAAAGAAATAAAAACTCAGTTTAGTTGTCGTGTACATACTTTACGTTCCGATAATACTCGGGAATATGAATCTGATCATTTTTCAGCTTATCTTAGTAAATTTGGCATTATACATCAGACTTCTTGTGCTTATACCTCTCCACAAAATGGTGTTGCTGAATGCAAGAACCGCCATTTGTTGGAAGTCACCCGTGCCTTGTTATTCCAGATGAATGTTCTCCGATATTATTGGAGTGATGATGTTTTTACTGCTTGTCAACTTATTAATTATATGTCTTTCTCTGTGTTAAATGGGCGAAGTCCATACTTTGTCCTTTTTCCTGATAAGCCCTTATTTTTCCTAACTCCTAAGGTTTTTGGTTGTGACTATTATGTTCATAATTTAGGTCCTGGATTTGACAAACTTGACCCTCGAGCTACAAAATGTGTATTTCTTGGTTACCCCCGCACGCAGAAAGGGTATCGTTGCTACAGTCCTTCTTTACACCGATACTTTACTAGTGCGGATGTCACATTTGAAGAATCTGTTCCATACTTTCCAGCACCTTTTGAGCCTTTGGATCCTCTCCTATACCACCATCTTAGATATTCCACTGTCCACTGTGTTACCATCTATTTTACCTCTTCGAGTCTACTCTCGTCGTCCTCGCCCATCGACTGAAGTGCCCGTACCGTCTTCCTTGCCGTCTTCTGATCCTGGTACATCAGGTAATTTAGACTCTTTACTTATTGCTCTTCGCAAAGGTACTCGTTCATGTATTACTAATCATCTCATTTCTCATTTTGTTTCACATGATGTCTTGTCTTCTGTCTTCTCCTATTTTACTTCCCAATTATCTGCTATATCTATTCCTAAGCATTTATAGGATGCATTATCTGATCCGGGTTGGAGGAAAGCTATGGAGGANATCCCATTTCTCATTTTGTTTCATATGATGCCTTGTCTCTTGTCTTCTCCTGTTTTACTTCTCAATTATCTGCTATATCTATTCTTAAGTATTTACAGGATGCATTATCTGATCCGGGTTGGAGGAAAGCTATGGAGGAGGAGATGGATGCTTTACATCATAATGGGACTTGGGATCTCGTTCCTTTACCTTCTGGTAAACTAACTGTTGGCTGTCGTTGGGTGTATATTGTTAAATTTCATCCAGATGGTTCTGTGGAGCGTCTCAAAGCTCGGCTTGTTGCAAAGGGCTTTACTCAGACTTATGGTGTTGATTATGAGGAGATTTTTTCTCCTGTTGCCAAAATTTCCTCTGTTCGTATCTTGATTTCTTTGGCTGCTAATCTCGATTGGCCCTTGTTTCAGTTAGATGTCAAGAATGCTTTCTTACATGGTGATTTGGTTGAAGAGGTCTACATGGAGCAGCCACCAGAGTTTACTGCTCAAGGGGAGTNCTTGTTTCAGTTAGATGTCAAGAATGCCTTCTTACATGGTGATTTGGTTGAAGAGGTCTACATGGAGCAACCATCTGGGTTTACTACTCAGGGGGAGTATGGTAAGAATGGATGTCGGTTAAAAAAATCTTTGTATGGTTTGAAGCAGTCATCGAGAGCATGGTTTGGTAAGTTTTCAGATGCAGTTTTAGAGTTTGGTCTTTTTCGATGTCAGACAGATCATTCTGTATTTCATAGGCAGACAGATGCTGGGTATGTTCTATTGGTGGTCTATGTAGATGATATTGTGATTACTGAAAATGATTCTGAGGGGATTGCCAAGTTAAAAATGTTTTTACAGNAGATGCTGGGTATGTTCTATTGGTGGTCTATGTAGATGATATTGTGATTACTGAAAACGATTCTGAGGGGATTGCCAAGTTAAAAATGTTTTTACAGGATCGATTTCATACTAAGGATTTGGGAAAACTCAGATATTTTTTGGGTATTGAGGTGGCTCGATCTAAACAGGGTATTTGTTTATCTCAGAGAAAATATGTACTTGACATACTTGATGAAACAGGTTTGCTGGGTGGTAGACCGATTGATGTTCCTATGGATCCGAATCAGAAATTATTGATAGATGATAGTGTATTGTTTGAGAATCCGGGTCGGTATCAAAGATTGGTTGGGAAGCTTAATTATCTCACTATTACTCGACCGGATATTTTCTATGCAGTTAGTATAGTAAGTCAGTTCATGGGATGTTCTAGAGTACCACATTGGGAGACAGTTACTCGTATTTTGCGATATCTCAAACGAGCTCCTGGACTTGAACTGTTATATTGAGTTAATGGACATCTTAGAGTGGAAGGTTTCTCAGATGCTGATTGGGCTGGTTCTCCTTCTGATCGGAGATCAACCACTGGTTATTGTACTTTTTTAGGAGGTAATGTTGTCTCATGGAAAAATAAGAAACAACCCGTGGTAGCAAGATCCAGTGCTGAGGTTGAGTATAGGGCAATGACACATACAACGAGTGAGTTGACTTGACTACTACACTTCCTCCAGGAAATTGGGTTTCCAGTTCAACTTCCTTTACAGTTGTTCTGTGACAACCAGGTAGTTATCCATATCGTTGTCAATCCTGTGTTTCATGAGAAAACCAAACATATTGAGGTTGACTGTCACTTTATTCAAGACAAGATAGTAGCTGGGGAAATTACAACTCCATTTGTGAAATCTGAAGATCAACTTGTAGATATTTTTACCAAAGCATTGAGTCGTACACGTCTTACAGCTATTTGTTCCAAGCTTGAATTATATGATATATATAGTCCAGCTTGAGGGGAGTGTTAAGAATAATAGGGTAGTATGTGTAAATTGTTAATAGTAAGAGGGTGTATGTGTTATTCTTATTATTGTAGGTTAACCATAAATACAAGTGATGTATGAGAGTTACGTTAAGTTTTTAACCTCTCTCTTTCTCTCTAATATTGTCTCTAATATTGTGTTATGTTAATTATCTCAACTTAACAATACCCAATAAAACTTTCAACCGGCAGCCAAGGACTTTCTATTATCTCCTAATTATAGAGTAGGTTTTGTTGAATTTGGATCTTGTGATGTCTGATATGACCTAACCCTTGGGCATGAGTTAGATCCTCAATGATTCTCTTCTTCTTCTTCTCCCCCAACTCCTCATCTTCTTGCATTTCATGTGCTCAAGTTCCATTTTTTACATATTCCGTTTTATGGTATAAAATTTGTAAAACAATCATGCTATCTCTGGACTCGCGTTGGATTTTGAGATTATTATGTTTCCTATTTGTACCTTTCTGTCCAGTAAATGCAGTTTTCTTACACAAACTGCTTAAAAAGGTGCATTCATTAACAGTGGTAGTGCAACGTGTAAACATAGTTGAAAAATAATGCAGCTACAGGCTTTTTTTGTGACTTACTTTTCAGTTTTCAGGACTCTACAACACCTCCTGTTGCTGCAACGATTTTCTTTGGAGCTAATGATGCAGCGCTTGCAGGGAGGACCAGTGAACGGCAACATGTACCTATTGAAGAGTACAAGGAGAATCTAAAAAGACTAGTTCGCCATTTGAAGGTTCAGAATTTTATCCTCAAAAAATCTTTTTACCATTTCCAATTCCACATGTACAGCAATTCTCCCCCCCCCCCCCCAGGCGAGTACATACGTACACGTTGACCTATTTTTTCAATCATATATTCTTTCTGCACATTTTGCACGCTTATCATCTGTAAGGTGCTAAAAAACAAGTGATACTTGGTATGAAAAAAGAATGAAAATAGAACTATAATTAAGTGTTAGCTTCATGGTTTCTGCAGCAGCATTACCTACTTATAACCACCTTGGCATTGATTTATTTACTAGCAAGCTGTACCAAGATGACCATCTTGGCAAGAAATGATCACCATTCACCAACCTTCATTTCCAGATTTCATCACCACTTCCTTCACCTCTATATGCTATAGTAACAATATCCTCTATAGCCCATAACCTCTACCGCTACCTTTGGACACCACCACAAACATCCTTGCACGACCACATTCATGAAGGTGATGACTTTGTACTTGGCTCCACGTCAAACATGCTGCTAGTTATTTACTCCTCCCTGTCCTGCCTTTATCACTTACATTGCTACCTGCCCCACCTCCACTGTGGCACTATTATTGCAACCACCCATCACCTTTGCAGCCACTATTACCATGCCTCCACCTTTGTTATGTTAGTGACACCACATAACCATACCATCCACTGCAAAGTACCCCTCATAACAAACTGTCATAGCTACGTTGTCACTCTTTTGTTATGCGATCCTATATGAAAACTAAGAACCAAGTCACCCTAATCTGACAAGTGCATTGCCATATTATATTATGAGATGCAGTCAGATAGTCATGAAAACTATTGAGTACACAATTATCTTATCATACTAAGCCACATCCATTCCTATCCCACAGAGAATTGGAAATTTAGAAATTCCTATATCAGGACTTTTTTATTTTATTTTTGGTATTTTTTAAATTGGTGACGTCTCTGTTCGAGTACCTTACCAATCATTTGTTCTGGATTCTGTGCTCCAAGCACCTTACCAATCATTTATTTGATATCTCACTGTTTCAAGAGATGCCAATCGCAGGAATGCTCCCCCACCATGCTAGTGGTTCTTATAACTCCCCCACCAGTTTATGAGGAAGGGCGCAAAGAATATGCAAGGTATGATGTGTTCTGCCTCTATTCTTGAACAGAGTACTTATGGGGAGTAACCTGTAGGAGATGGCATACGATTTCTAATACATTACTAGATTATGGGAATATGAATATTTTATGTAAATTTCAGCGAAGCCATTACATAACCATGGAACTCAATTACATGGCATTGTTATCTTTAAAAAAGGTTATGTATGTTCTTATTTTTTTTTCATCTTTCTCTCAGATAGAATTGTTGATTTTCGTGGAAGAAGATCAAATTGACTGTGGTTGTTGCCTCTAGTTTAGAAAATTTAGAGTTCCATGAACAATCTAGCAGCATAAGCATTTATTTTGTTTTCATCCTTTCCTTTTCCATTGAAAGTGTTGCAACATCCATCCTTGGCAAAAGATCGTGATTCTTTGCTGTGATCCTGTTGAGGGCACGATAATCCTAATTCTCGCACATGCGCCACAAGCCGCCTTCTTTTTAATTTTTGAATTCTAGTTCCATTTTTCCTTTATCTCCTACTATTATGACTTGAATGTTATCCTACTTCAGCTGGAATGGATGATTCCTTTGTTTACTCCAAAATTTGTGCTTTCTGGATGCAAACTCCCAAAAAAGGGGTCACTCCTGAATAAACACCCATTTTTTCTGGTTTATATTCAGAATATGGACTCAGTACTTTTTCTTTATTAGAATAGTATCATCATTGTTTCGATAATTAGCTTTCATTTCGGTTAGACAGATCTTTATATGGTGAGAACGCAATGGAACTTCCGGAAAGGACAAACGAAGTGACAGGAGAATATGCGAAGCAATGCGTAGAGTTAGCCAAGGAACTAGGCCTCCCTTCCATCAACCTGTGGTCCAAGATGCAGGAAACAGAGGGTTGGCAGACAAAATTTCTAAGGTTAGTGTTATTTAGAGTTTTTCATTTGTGCTGCTCTCCACTGCCCCTGGTATTGAATTAGTGGGCATTGACTGCACATATTTTGGAGAAACACTAAAAAGCACTTACTCTTTCCTCGGTCCAGCTACCTGACTAATGAGTTATTGNTTTTTGAATTCTAGTTCCATTTTTCCTTTATCTCCTACTATTATGACTTGAATGTTATCCTACTTCAGCTGGAATGGATGATTCCTTTGTTTACTCCAAAATTTGTGCTTTCTGGATGCAAACTCCCAAAAAAGGGGTCACTCCTGAATAAACACCCATTTTTTCTGGTTTATATTCAGAATATGGACTCAGTACTTTTTCTTTATTAGAATAGTATCATCATTGTTTCGATAATTAGCTTTCATTTCGGTTAGACAGATCTTTATATGGTGAGAACGCAATGGAACTTCCGGAAAGGACAAACGAAGTGACAGGAGAATATGCGAAGCAATGCGTAGAGTTAGCCAAGGAACTAGGCCTCCCTTCCATCAACCTGTGGTCCAAGATGCAGGAAACAGAGGGTTGGCAGACAAAATTTCTAAGGTTAGTGTTATTTAGAGTTTTTCATTTGTGCTGCTCTCCACTGCCCCTGGTATTGAATTAGTGGGCATTGACTGCACATACTTTGGAGAAACACTAAAAAGCACTTACTCTTTCCTCGGTCCAGCTACCTGACTAATGAGTTATTGCGTTGGCGTATCTTTGGATGGAAATGAATGCTGGACAAAACCCACTTGAGCCATGAATCATTATCACAAATTAGCTCTGCACATCACATACTAAATCATGGTATAGGAGATTCATGGTCACAAATTTGCTCTGCAAATCACATACTAAATCATGGTATAGGAACTATCACCTTAAGAAATAGTTATTTTCACCAATTTCCAACATTCCTACCTATAATCAATCTTCCATTTTACTTTTTAAACTAAGCGGGGGAAAATTTTAGAGTAAGAGACAGAAAAAAATATTCCAACTTCAACCCTTCTTTTACCATGTACAGTGATGGATTGCATCTGACAGCAGAAGGCAATGCAGTTGTCCATCAAGAAGTTGTTAGAGTTTTCAGTGAAGCATGGCTTTCTGCCCCGGAAATGCCGTATGATTTTCCTCATCACTCAGAAATTGACTGGAAGAACCCTGGAAAGTCTTTCCAGCCACAATGCTTTTAGTTTCTCTGGATTTTTCCAATTAAATCTCTCCCCGGACAGAACATTCTGGTTCCTTGATTCACCTCCCCCTCCCCCTAGCATTTGTTATTAAAATTGCGATAAAAACATATTGAAATGTTAAAATTGTTGTTAAAGTTGTGAATCTTTATGTTGTGAACTATTCCAAATACGGCTTATGCACTGTCCTACTTGAAAATATAGTAAGGAAGAAGAACAAAATGAAGAAGAAGNCTCTGGATTTTTCCAATTAAATCTCTCCCCGGACAGAACATTCTGGTTCCTTGATTCGCCTCCCCCTCCCCCTAGCATTTGTTATTAAAATTGCGATAAAAACATATTGAAATGTTAAAATTGTAGTTAAAGTTGTGAATCTGTATGTTGTGAACTATTCCAAATACGACTTATGCACTGTCCTACTTGAAAATATAGTAAGGAAGAAGAACAAAATGAAGGAGAAGANTAAAATTGTTGTTAAAGTTGTGAATCTTTATGTTGTGAACTATTCCAAATACGGCTTATGCACTGTCCTACTTGAAAATATAGTAAGGAAGAAGAACAAAATGAAGAAGAAGATAAGAAAAAAGGAAAAGGAATAAACTTGTGCCATATTGCTCCCTCTTTTATTACTACGCAGAGTTAAGGTGGTGTGGGCTCTTTGTGGTCATGCAACTACCCTGACATATCTCATTCGAGCAGCCAATACTCTAGCTTAGGAATCTCCTTTGTGTTNTCCAAATACGGCTTATGCACTGTCCTACTTGAAAATATAGTAAGGAAGAAGAACAAAATGAAGAAGAAGATAAGAAAAAAGGAAAAGGAATAAACTTGTGCCATATTGCTCCCTCTTTTATTACTACGCAGAGTTAAGGTGGTGTGGGCTCTTTGTGGTCATGCAACTACCCTGACATTTCTCATTCGAGCAGCCAATACTCTAGCTTAGGAATCTCCTTTGTGTCNATTTTTTTTTTTTTTTGTTCAACAGTTAAGGGTGTCTGGGCGCATCTCAACTAATTTCTTCCCTGATCCTGTCAAAGGCAGACTATCCACGTTGAGACCCTCATGATCTGATCCNACTAAAATTTTGGAAACTAATGCAGAGAGAGAGAGAGAGAGGGTTCAGTTACCAAAAACCAATGACACATTTAATAATTTTGAATATTTTTTATATTTTCAGTGAATTGTTTTTTATTTTTTATTTTACACATTTTCTATACTGGCACCATACTTCTCACACAGAAATGATGGAGTTGCCTTCAATTATCTTTGATTCTACATGTTTATATGATTATGGATAGATTGTGATTGATTGTATGCAAAATTTCCTCTATTTTGGTTCACAAAACAATACACTATCTATAGTCCCAAGCTTTTATTGTACTGTCGGGGGAAGAACAATCAATTACCTAGTACAACGACAAATATTCATCGGAGTGATCCTTGTTATAGTGTTATTTTTGAGACAAAACCCTTTTAACAGATTTCTAAATTGGCTTGTACAAATAATCCCCCCAAAAATTACAGAATTAATTAATCAACATAAAATAAATGGAGGTTGCAATGGTCATATCTCAGATGTGGATTATCTCAAAACTATCATTTATTTCCTACAACTTGCTGCAAAAAATGTCTCTAGTGCACCAAGAAATGCCAGTCAAATTTTTTTTTTTTTTTTGTTCAACAGTTAAGGGTGTTTGGGCGCATCTCAACTAATTTCTTCCCTAATTCTGTCAAAGGCAGACTATCCACGTTGAGACCCTCATGATCTGATCTTAAAGACGTACCAAAATTTGAACTTAAGACATTTGAAATTTCAACTCGTCTCTACTACCACTTGACATACCCAAATTTCTCAAAAACTGCAGGTGCATTAAAGCATTGAGTAATTATTCTCTCCAACCATTTTTCAGCTAATTTTATAAATTTCAACAGAACACTTTCCATCTATAATCTTGATTACCAGAATAACCAACAATTTTCTAAGATATCTTTTACCAACTGCCCATTTTTCCTTCTTACCAAAGCCATATATACAACCCAATTTGGATTTTATACATCCATTGTTTGCAAAGGTAAGGACTAAATTAAATTCACCTTTTCAATGTTATGATGTTCTTTGACCAAATTTCTACAAAATGAAATTTACTTAAGACTTGAAACATCATTAACTTGGTTCATTATGGTAAGTATTTGCTCAAGTCTTGACTAAATTTAAAGCTCAGCCATATATATGCAATCCTAACCATTGGATTATCCCATGAATCAATGGTCATGGTAAATCCTCACTACACTAAATGTTTCCCTTCCTCACCTATTAAGTAACATAACACCAAGAGAGAGAAAGAGGGAGGAAGAGAGAGCTCCATTACAGTCTGCTATTTTTCTTCCTGAGTTTTTTCATGCTCTCTCTCTCATGGAGTTTGACATCAAGTTCAAAGAAGAACTTATCCATAAACCAGTGCTTTTGTCCTCCAACAATTACTTGAAACCAGAAATTCATGATGACATCTCTATGGACAGTTCTTCATCAAAAGGCTTCCTCCAAGATTTTCAGCATCTTGATCATCTTCCTGTAATGGGGTCATCGTTAAACCCCGATTTCCCTATCCAAACTACTTGTTTTGATCCTTTTGATCCCTTCACATTTGTGTCTTCTTCGACAGATCTTGATTTTTATGAGTTAAAACCATTTGAGGAAAATGGTGCAAATGGTAGTGCTGTCATGCAGAATTTCCAGGGTGGTGGATACTTAAATAACCCTAAGAATACTCCGGTGCTCGACACAATTTCAGGCAACCGGAGCTCCCGTGTGCCCTTTAACGGTGAAGATATCAAGCCTATGAACTTTGCAGTACCAGATGAAGGCTCATGCATAACTGCTGAAAATGTGTACCACAAGAAAGTTGGCATGATCAAGAAGAACAATAATAATGTTGGATCTGCTTCAAATAAAAAACAATGCAAAAGTCAAAAGAAAGCCAATTCATCCAAGGGGCAGTGGACAAGTGAAGAAGATAGGTAGAAACAATTTTTAGTTATTGTTTTCTGCATTCTTTTGCTAGTATTACCCTATTCTTATACATACATTTATAAATGTCTGTCATACAAAATTGTCGAGGTTTTGTCGTGACAATAGTCTCTCAGCATACGGACATAAGACTGCGTGCAACAAATTCTCCCCCGATCTCACAGTTTGTTCATATGCAAAGGTTTTGTTCTATGGTTATTCACTCATGCTCAAATATTATTCATGCATGTACAGTCTCTTAATCAATCTGGTGGAGAAGTTTGGAGTGAGAAAATGGTCTAATATTGCTCAGATGCTGAAGGGAAGGATAGGGAAGCAGTGCAGAGAACGCTGGCACAACCATCTAAGGCCTGAGATTAAGGTATGATACATTCCAGTTCTTCTTCCTTATTCCATGTTTATTTTACAGTGATATATATATATATATATATATATATATATATATATATATATATANAGGGAAGGATAGGGAAGCAGTGCAGAGAACGCTGGCACAACCATCTAAGGCCTGAGATTAAGGTATGATACATTCCAGTTCTTCTTCCTTATTCCATGTTTATTTTACAGTGATATATATATATATATATATATATATATATATATATTTTTTTTTTTTGGCTTTCCTTCATGAAGAGAACTGATTTTAATGTTATATATTATATACTCATGCATCAATATATCATATAAATTTCCTCTTTTTCCAATCCGATGAACATTTTTGCTAATAAAAATTTGCATTCAATTTTTTGCTTCTGTGTATGATCCTAGCTGCAGAATCAGCAAATGTGCCTTTTTTTTTCCTTTCTGTTATGCGATAAGTTTCGGGATATCAGATAAAATTGGATTGACAAGATTATGCCACATTTTTCCACCTCGATATCATTAATGCAAAATCGTCGATAATCAGTAGTTTTATCATTCCATATATGTTCTTCCTAACACGTTAACATTAACTAGAAATTCTCCAAAAACAGTAGTAATCATGCATATGTGGACTATACAAATAACAAAAAAAAGTCAGTTTTTTTTTATATATGTTTTGTTGTAATTTATAAGTAAGATTGTATACATCCCACCCTCTCTAAATATCATAGTGTTGGAATCTTGTGTGCTTGTCTAACGTTATGAACCCATTAGTAGAGCTTGTCTCTAAAAATCGACTTACAAGAGAAGGGTGTCAAAGAGTTCATATACAGACATATAATTTTATTTTTAACTAATGTGGGATCGTAATATTCTACTACACTTCCGTAGCCAACATCCATAGCGGCCCACGCCCACTCTATTGACACTGACCCAATAGTAGTCCTTTATCTTTGACGGCTTCACTCACTTTTCAGTACTCAATGAGATATGACTATATCCATATATAATATCAAGTCATCTTATCTTAATCCAACCTATAGGTCACCTCTTCTCTGACTCAACCATAGAGAGCCGAAGTTTATATTGCGTTCGATCTCATACTAGATGTGGTGACTAGCTCTAATACCAATTCTTATGAGCTCATGGATAGAACTTACCCGTAAAAAGCGACTTGCAAGGGAAAGGTGTCTAAGAGTTCATATCCACACATCTAGTCTTATTTTTAACCAATGTGAGATCATAACATCTAACTTTTATTGGTTATTGGAAAGTTATGAATACATGTTTGTGTAACCAATTTATTTGTTCATTTCTGGCTGGCAGAAGGATGTATGGAGCGAGCAGGAGGATAGGGTCTTAATTCAGGCACATACAGAAGTAGGAAACAAATGGGCAGAAATTGCAAAGAGATTGCCAGGAAGAACTGAAAACTCCATCAAGAACCACTGGAATGCAACCAAGAGAAGGCAATACTCGAGGCGAAAATGCAGATCCAAATGGCCAAGGCCAAGCTCTCTTCTTCAAAACTACATCAAGAGCTTAAACTTGGATGGCAAAGATGCTTCAACAATCAATCCAATGGTAATCAAGCCACAAACTCAGCCAGAGGCTGATGATTTTTGCGCGAGTGATCGCGTAGTTCCAGATCATGTTTTCGACGAGGTCCCAGAATTTGTGTTGGATGAGAGATTGGTTGAAGGGTACAGTAGGTTTGATTCTATTCTTGATGACATACCAGTTAGTGCACCAGTTGTTCATGAGAAATGCTTTGATGATATGGAGATGCCATATGATATGGCTTCACTGATGCTGTGTGAAGTGAAGAAGGAGATTGATTTGATGGAGATGATCTCTCAAGTTAATCTCTAAGTCCTTACAAGGCAATAGATATTCCATACAAAATATGTTGATTCTGCAAAGTGAATTTTAGAGAGAAAATGTTAAAGAGTTAAAATATCTGGGAGTTTTTGACTTGTTTTTAGAACATTTGTATTGAAAGCTTGGACTAATTGCCTTAAATGTTACATATACCTCTAATATATAATTGCTTCTATGGGTGCCACTCTTTTTCTGATTGAGATCCTCTCGATCATATTTTTCTTTAGATTTACTCAATAGTAGGTCTCCTACTATAGATTTAAGTGGGATCCATTATGTATAAGTGGGGTCTTCACTCATAGACCGTAGATAATCTATCATTGAGTAAAATATAGTNTATTTTTCTTTAGATTTACTCAATAGTAGGTCTCCTACTATAGATTTAAGTGGGATCTATTATGTATAAGTGGGGTCTTCACTCATAGACCGTAGATAATCTATCATTGAGTAAAATATAGCGAAAATATAATAGAGGTAGATAATACGAACCCGTGTTACTCTATGTATGTAATCTGAGGTCATTTTTGTATTTTTGTGGTTTTATTTGTTCCTCTATTTTCCTTATTGCTTTCTTTGTATTTTTCTTCACCCTCTTCTTNAAAATATAGCGAAAATATAATAGAGGTAGATAATACGAACCCGTGTTACTCTATGTATGTAATCTGAGGTCATTTTTGTATTTTTGTGGTTTTATTTGTTCATCTATTTTCCTTATTGCTTTCTTTGTATTTTTCTTCACCCTCTTCTATTTTTTTTTCATAGTTTCCTAATAAACTTAAGACTATAACTAAAGCAATATAGTCTTAAAAATAATTCCCACATTTCCATTAATAAGAACTAAATTAGGTGTAAATTTCACATAAAAAATTCCTAAGTTCAACTATGAGAAATATATTAAGATCCAAGACTTAATTACTGTATAAAAATTAAAACCAAAATCACGTCAGTATTAATAAAATATGAAAAACTAAAATAGTAATATTTTTATAGCACATTTCAACTCAATCATTTATTAAAAAGAAATACAACGACACTGTTTTAAATCTTAAAAATTATCTATAATTAATCGATTCTTAGAGATATTTCAAAATAATTTCTTTTAACCTTGTTAAAAGATTGATGTGTTTGAAAAGTGTAACACTTGTTCATGTGTTATTGGGTTTCGAGTCACCAATTATCGAAATATAAATTAGGGACAACAATGCAATTATTTTTAAAAAAATATGAGGAAGTGTATCGAATAACATAGGTATTATCTTTGATCAATAAAAAAAAAAAATTCAGACATGTTTTTTCCTCAGTCTAATAATAAAATATTTATTTTACTGGATTAGGTGACTACTATTCTACTGAAGATAAAAAGGAATAAAAAAATTTCAACCGTTTATTTGGGAAGTGAATGTAAGGAGAAGCTACTAGTAAACAACCATACCTCTTTGTTTTTTTTTTTTTTTTGGGAGAATTACATCGAGATCTCTTGAATTTTATTGCTTAATTATTTAGATTCTTTAATATTTAAAATATTATACATAAACCCCTTAAAATTTGTACACACATAGCACTTAAACTCCTACTGATAATGTCCATTAGTTTATCCGTTAATAAATTATACTTAAACCTCTTAAAATTTTTAGGCATATAATATTTAAACCCCTCAAGTTTAAAATATTATATTTAAATAAAAAATACTCTAATAAAAAATAGAATATCAAATATTTTTAATTTTACAACTAAAATTCATGTTCTATTATATCATTTATTGAAACAAAATCAAAAATCAAAAATTATTTTTTTCTTTAAAAATCATAATTTATATATAATTATATTATCTATTAGAATAAAATTAAAAAACCAAACAATGGGTCAAACCGTAATGTACACAATATCTTTTATCTTTAATTAGGGTAATTTGATTGTTTAATAAATTTTGTTAGTTATGTAACTAATAAAAAGTCTAAGTGTAATACTCTAAACTTAAGGAGTCTAAATATTACACGTTTACAAACTTTAAGGAATTTGGATGTAATTTATAATAGATATATTAACGATCATTGACGGCATGGGTCGAGCGTACAAATTTTTAAAGGGTCTATATGTAATATTTTAAATATCAAGGAAGTAATTAAGTGACAAACTTCAAGAGTTCAAATGTAATTCTCCTTTTTTTTTTTTTTGGGTTTAATGGTCAGGATGTGGTTAGGATGTCTGAAACAATTTACTCGCATCTTTCTCGGTCCCATTAAAGATAGATCATTCATATTGAAATTAGAGTATTTATGAGGGATAAATCCCACATGGCCTACCCCAAAAGTGTTACCAAAATTCAAGGCCTGATTGGTAACTATGTGTTTGTGTTTGTGTTTTTTTTTTTTTCCACTTTTTGCTAAAAAAAAAAAAACATGTTTGGAGAGTATTTTTTTTTTTTGGTTGATCTGTTTTGTAAACAACTCCAATTTTAAAAACATCAAAATAAGTATTTTTAAAAACACAAAAAACGGAAACACGTGCGCCTTTTGGAACTATTTAATGAGGTTTAGCCTTCGAACTCCATTAGCGTCAAAAAAAGTTTTTTTCATTCCCACTATAAAAGCATGTTTACCCCTTTTTCCTCTTCTCTCTCTTGTTCATCTCTCATGACCACTCTCTCATTCACCTCTTTCACGAGGCCAACAACGAAAGGGCAAAGAAGGAGCTCTCAGATCTCAAGTCAACACTCCATCTCCATCTCCATTAGATCTCAAGCCAGCACTCCATCAATAATTGTGAGGGTGGGTTTCGGTGGTTGTGGGAATGGAATGTAGGTTTCGATGGTGGGGGTTGAATTGGGGTGGGTTTTGGTGGTGGTGGGAGTGGGTTTCGATGGTTGGATTGGGATTGGATTTTGGTGGTTGTACTGGTGGGTTTCGGTGGTAGGATTTTGATGATAGTGGGGCTGGGTTAGGGTGAGTTTCGGTGGCGGGATTCGATGGTGGGGTTGGGTGGTGGTTTTGGGTAGTCGGGGGGTTGGGTTTGAGTTGTGAATTTTTAGTATAAGACCAAAAAGATTTTTTATTTTTGTTTTCACCATTTTTTAAATATAAAATGACTACCAAATATTTTTTATATTTTTAATTTTTATCACAAAAAAAAAAAAAAACAAATTTTGTTATTTTTTTATATAAAAAAATATATAAAAACGAAAACGTTACGAAACGCACTCTTAAACTCAAAATATTTAAATTTATCATTCATCTCTATTATTACTTAAATTACCCCTAAAAGTTAACCTACTTTTGAGTAGGCTGATTTTTAGACTCGAACTTCTAGAATGTCGTTTGGAAGATCTGGCCTCTAACCATTTTCTAGGACCAACCTTTAACCACGCAAACTCAAACAATCAATGCATGAACCAGCTAATATCAGGTTATGCCCAGCACAATGTACTTACTATGCTACGATGGACCACTAGCGTTTCCATTTCCTCAAATAGAAGATTTCTAGACTCGAATTTCGTACATTACACATTCAAAAATACTAAGATTTAGCAGAGTAACCCAAAAATTAATAACGGTCTTCCTAGATCATAGATCATCAAAGTAAAGAATTTACACCCCCGAAAAAGGGAAACGAAAGAAGGGGGAAAACTGGACTGAGTCCCTACCTGACATACAACTAAATCTTAAATGTCGCAATATTGATTCTCACCTAATAACAAAGTTACCAGCAAAACTTTTTTAGCGTTAACACTTCAAGCTGTCTTTGGCTTTGGCTTAATACGCTTCACCCTTGAATACAGAAACACTCCAGCGAGGGCCACTCCAGTGCCTGCACCATGAGGCAGGAAAAGAATTAAATAAACAAAGAGCCTCGATAATTGTAAAAGGAGTTAACTATAAAATTAAATCAAAACAACGAGAACAGTATTTTTTTTGTATTTCTTATAGTGCGAATTCAAATGTAGGCATTATACCCAGAGAGTTGATAGGTGAAACAGGTGATCGGAAAAAGAGAACAGAGGTAACGATCACCACCACCCGCTTCACGCAATTACCCACAGAATGAGTAACTGGAGATACCCTCTGCAATATCATATAAGAAACCTGCACAACAAACTTGAATCAGCATTGATGAATGGCAGACAATCTTTGTAATAAATTTGTGGCCTTTGTAATAGACAACGACAAAACAAAGAGACATCAAAGCCTCTTGACATTAATCTGGCTTCTGGCATACAGCTTCCTGAAAAATTCTAATTCAAGAATGTCTACATTATTGTACAAGGTTAGGCTTTACAAGATGTGGCTGAAAGCTCCAAATATTACTTACAACACAAATGACAAAGAGAATGGGAAGAAAAAAAAATTTAAATGGTTACCTGCTGATATGCATGGAAGCACAGTGCAGCAATGAGAGATCTAGTATAAATCTGTCTGACATTTAATCCCTGGCAAATGAACAATGAAACTAGTTATGCAAAACGAAAGAAAATTATGAATCAGTGGCAAATTCTGCTCTTGGATTCTACTCACAGAAGATTGCAGGTATGCAGGAGTGAACTTGACTCCTTCCATGAAGATAGCAGCCGGGGTCAACAAGATGAAGGACATAATTGTTATTATTGAGAAGAGAGTAATGTTATCCAAAGATTCCTGTTTAAGAACAAACTACTGGTTACTGTACTAAACCAAAAGAAAAAAAAAATAGAGAATAACTGAAATAAACAAGAATTTTTTGTTTTTAAGCAAAAAATAAGTAACCACAGAAGAAATTCCAAAAGCATACTATTCCGGTGTTTCATAACAAGACGATTTACTGCAACTAACTCCAAGCAAGGAACTTACAAGTTATAATCAATAGAGAAATTTAACAAAGTTTCTCAAAATATTCGCACTCCACTAACTACCACCACTAGTCATGATTATAAACATACAAAAATGATGGTGAAGTATACCTCTTTCTTAACCATGAACTTTTTGCTAAGGACATTACGGGACTGATTGGTCAAATTGGAAGCCATTGCACTCCAAAACCCAGCCCTGTTTTTATTAGACACAAGATGATTTCATATGTCAAAATCTACCTTTGAAATATACATTACTATTGATTACTTACTCAAAAAGAATAAAAAAATGGCCTAAATTATGCATAGAGGAAAGAAGAAAAGAGAAGAGGGGGGAAGGGGGAAGGGAAGAATTAAGTGCATGTGTATTCCTCACCAATTAAAAGATGCTTCAGTCATCGATGCCAATGCCACTCCACCAACAATTGGCAGAAGTGATGAAACAACCCACAGAGTAGGCATCTGTTCAAGCAAAAAGATCAGGGTTGAAAACAGTAAAACTCAGATGACAACAATATCAAAGCTACAAACCAACAATTCATCCTCGACATGTTGTGCAATGGGTTACCAACAACAGTCAAGCCAGTAAAGCCATCATGTTCACCAAATACAGGAAACAAATATGCATAAAATAACTCTCTTTGTCCTAGTGTTATTCAAATTAGGCATAGAAAACTAAACTCCATAGTCCATCCGGTATACCCATATGTGGCCAGAAACAGAAACACCATCAGTCGTGTACCTCCCCTAGAAACATGGCAGAGAGGACAACAGAGAAGAAGGGCTCCATAGCTTTAATTGTGTGAGTGAATGAAACAGAGACTTTTCCGAGACTCATGTTAGTGAAAAGGTTGCCTAATGTGTGCACTACTGCCAATGGCAGGATTGCTGCAAGCTGCCAAGTGGATAATCAGATTTAGTACCAAAACTTGACAATATTAACAAATAGTACAACAGTTTCCGCAAACATTGAAATACCTGTGAACCGCTGATCTTAGGCCGTTTGTAGAGGTTAAACATCCACATGAATATAACGAGGACAGTCCCAACTGCAAATTGAACTAAAGTGACAGTCACTGGGTTTGGAAAGACTCTTAGGACCTGTGAAAATGAACACCATCAATTTGTGTTATTCTTACTATAATAAGTTTTAATATACAGCAGTTCAGTTCAGAGTTATGTAGATGAAAATAGTGACTGCTAGTCATAATTTATGCAGTTGTCAGCAAATGGAACACTTCTTTACCCACTTCCCCAAATACTTGTGGTAATTCAAAGTCCAAACAATTCTCAACCACCTACTACTTCTTGTTTCATTCATATTCCATATGACAAATGAAAAATCTACGCATCAAGACCAGAGATATGTACACATCAAAACCAACTCTAGGCAAATTAAAAGCAAGAAAACCTGTATATAATTCAATATGTTTTTAACCCCAAACAACAAATTAGCTTAGGTAGGATAAGTTATCTTTGCCGCGCAAAGGCATCGGTACAACAGAATCTATCAAGTAGTCCATCATTGATATAGCGGGATGTCATATATGTGAAAGATAAAAGAAGATTAATAAATTTCAAGCATATAACACTTTAGAAAGTTCCAACAAAAATTCTGGCAAACCAATCGCAATTTCTTTATGAATCATGAATGGGTGGCCAATATGGGCTCGGTTTGCCGGGAGATTGAATTTATGAATGCCATGAACAACATTTCCACAAAACTACAAGATACAAACATGCATGCATCGCATACATGTGTATTCGTACAAGTGAGTGTGCACAGAGAGAAATATCAAGTAATCAGAGCAAATGAAATGCAATATAGTTAAAAAAACAAAGGAAAGAATACGTATATGAAACAGAGCACTTTTTGAACAGAGAAGACTACGTGCCTGCTTGTTGTAGATATTGAAGTATATGTTGAAAAGGTACCACAACCCAAACAACGATCCAAGCACCAACGTATCGGCCAATGCCTTCGACTTGGGAGCCTCTTCTGCGCTCTCAGGTACCGACGTTGCCCTGACCTCGACACTCTCCGATTCGCCTTCAGGCACAGGTGACGGACCCGAAATCCACCCATCATTCCCTCTTGACGACGACGACGACGACGAAGAAGAGCAACTGATTATAGGCAATCGACGAGACGACGAGACCGAGACGCCATTGATGGAGCCAAAACCAACCGATTTTGGAGGCGAATATAGAGATAACGGCTGGAATTCAAAGAAAGAACTAGGATTCGAAGGCTTTCGATGCTTAGGAAGATAAATCGAAGGTGAAAATGAAATCGCAGTGCTTTGCATTTTTTAGATTCAGATCAGTTGTGTGTGTGTTAGAGAGAAGAGAGAGAGAGAGAGAGAGAGAGAGAGAGAGAGGGTAGGGGAGGGGAGAGGAGAGGGAAATTATATACTGGGGTGTGGGATGAACGTTGGCGACTCCGTCGAGGCGCGAGGTGGGTTTTAGTATTAGTTAGTGCGCACAAGTGTACAGGGCGGAGGAAGGTGTGGACTGGTGAGAGGCACAAAACGGATCAGAAATTTGACTATATTTGACTGTTTTTTTTTTTTGGCGGATACAATTTCTGATGACCCATATTTAAATTGGTAATCCTACGGTTCAACAATACTATAATTATCATTAAATCAAACGTTAACCTCAATTAAATTTAATTTCGACACAGTTGAGACCGTCCAAAGAGTTTTATTTTTATGCAAATTTTCGATCAATGTTATGTAAATGAATGTTTGAAATTTTATATTATTTTTTAAAATAGTTTTAAAACGTCTCTATTTTTAAACTAATTAAAATTAAATAAACTAGATTTTAATCTTCTGAAATGTGACATATCATGGGGATTTTGGGTTTTCTATGGGGTATGTTTCGGGTTTCAGGGAGGACGTGGATTCTTAATCCTAAGCGGTAGCTCGTGTTCTTGGTTTCATTATGGATGATTTATTTGTGATCAGACTGAAGAACAGATTAAAATTAATAAAAATACGTATAAATTAGTTTAAACACTCTTAACGATTAAAAAAAAAAAACGATCCGAATTCCCAGGGGTTCTGAAATCTGAGGTGGCTTGGGGGTTGTTGGAGGGTGAAAACAAAGTAGGTGGGTGGGCCTGGGTCATGTGATATATTGGAGTTGGATTGTCCCCATATAGCTTCGTAAATAACATTTTCCCACCAACCAACAATGGACTTCATTTCAAATCCACATGTGATTTAAGCAAAGACATATCTAGGATTTTAGTCTAAGAGGAACCAATTCTGTCAATATATTTTACTGTGAGTCCTAATATTTAGTACCCACTACCTATTCAATGGTTATCAAGTTTAATTTTTTAAGTTTAATTTTTAAGTCGATCTAACATTACTCTATTAAGAATATTATATTGAAATTCGCTAAGGAAAAATAACCTCCAAACTATCCGAACCCAACATAGTCCCCAAAACCACTCCCAAATCATTCATATGAATCCACCATACCCAAAAGTCACCTCCACCTCTACCTCCACCTCAATTGAATCAACTCTCTCTCTCTCTCTCTCTCTCTCTCTCTCTCTCTCTCTCTCTCTCTAATCATGTGATTACATAAGTTTTTGAATTCAAAATTGATCAAATCTATAAAGTTTTAAGGATTTTCGAATCTCATGTTTTTGGATCTTCGGGGCTCTGTTTGATGGCATGCGATTCTTTCTTCCATTAGGGTTTTCTTTCTCATCTGGGTTTTTATGGTGGTGGCATGTGGTAGTGAAAGGAGGAGGATGATGACTGCTTTGGTGGTGGCGTGGAAAGAGTCTGGATGGAGGTTATATTTTGTTGGGGACTTCACTTCAATAGTGCTTTTATTTTTTATTTTTGGCATCATATCGAAAAATTATAAGTGGTCTATGCTTACCACCTATACACCCCAAAATCCATAACCAGTTTCATTGGTATATACTTTAAAAACAATAATTGATAACATAAATTAAAATTAGTTTTTAAAAATGATAATTATTTGTCATATTTAAATCTGAATATGAAATAAAAATATAAGGAAAACCTTATAATCTTTGGGATTAATGAGTGACATTAAATTTACCATTTTTTGGGTTAAGTTAAAAATATTATGAGAGGTTAGCATTTTTTTGGTAAAGGTTATCACTAAGTTCATCACTATTTTAGGCTAAATTACAACGAAGTTTACCACCTTTTGGTAAGTTACCACCATTAGGTGATAAGTTACCACATTTTCTGCGTATTAAAATGTAACCATTTTTAAGGTAAGGTTACACTTTTGGAGATTAAGTTACCACATTTTTTGGGTATTAAAATGTTACCATTTTTTAGGAAACTTACACTTTTTTCGGAAGGTAATAAGATTACACTTTTGGGGATAAGATAACCAATTTTTTGGGTAAAGTTGCCATTTTTTTGGGTTATTTTACAACTTTTAGGGTAAATTTAATATTTTTTTGGGAAAAAAAACCACTTATGGGATAAGGTTACCGTTTTTTAGGGTAATCTTACACCTTTTATTGATAAGGTTACTACTTTTTGGGAGTAAAGAATCACTATTTTAGGCTAAAGCACAACCACTGTTTTATTAAAGGATAAAATGGTCATTTTATAATTTTCACTAGGTCTGTTTTGTCATTGTTAATGACAAAGCGATGGCAGTTTAATTTTCCAAACAAGAAGGGATAAGTGACTAAGTTGTAGACCTTAATGCAATTTATCCAAATTAGTAATATGTCACCCTGATATTTATTCTTTCAATCATATTTATTAGGAAAAATTTCATCCACACCATCTGTAATTAGGTCTAAGTTTAATAACACTCCCTCGTAATTCTGAAACTTCACTATCACCCCCTATCAATGTTTATCGAGTTATGACGTTAACGATAATTGTTAATTTACAGAAATACCCTTAAATGTTTTATAAGGTAAATTTTATCCATATCAATTGTAAATAGATATAACTACAACAACATCCCCTGTAAATAGATTTATCTTTAATAATATCTCTCTCGATTCTGAAAATTCACTGCACTCTTTTTTAGTGCTATTATATTATCCTTTGGGTTCATCAATTTAATATTTAATTTTATCAAATTAATGTCTTTTATTTAATTTAAACTAAATTAACATTTCATTTCATCAAATCAATACAAATTGATATTTAATTTTATCAAATTAGCATTTAGTTATAATAATTTAACATTTTATTTCATCAAATTAATATTATTTCTTTAATTTAACATTAAATTATTATTTAATTTCATCAAATCAATACCAAATTGATATTTAATTTTATTAATTAAAATTTAATATATTGAATAAAATAGTAAATTTTATTAATTTAACATTTAACGTTTATCAAATTAACGTGAGTTATTTAATTTAACATCAAATGAACATTCAATTTCATTAAACAAACATTTAAATTTATTCAATTAATATTAAATTTTATCAAATTAACACCAAATTAATATTTAAATTTATCAAATTAAGACCAAATTTATTTAATTAATATTAAATTTTATCAAATAATATTTAAATTTTATATATGAAGGGTGATGTGAAAAGAATGATCAGGTGATGTTGTGGAGGACAGATGATAGTAGAGGAGTTAGAAATAGATGGAATTTGACATTGACTTTATCGATTATAATTTTTATTTTAGAAAAATTATTTTTAACTATAAAAATTATAAAAACTCGATTATGTAACAAAATGAGTGATAATATGATGACTAATATTATAATAAAGTTATCATGTGACACTTTAAAATGATAAAAATTTATTGGGATAATAAAATGATAGAAATCATGCTTACTAATTGACTTGGGCATATATAATGGGAAAAACATTGTAGGCATTTTAGTCCATTTATATAACAAAAGATAATTTTGGCATTTTCACAAAATATTTAGTCAAATCATTACTTTATCTATTGGCAGAGGTAAAAGTTGCTATTAAGGAGGTGTCATTGATTTGAAAGTATAACCAGAAAGGTATGCAATAAGTTTTAGAATCGGGAGGAATTTTATTGAATTTAGACTTAATTATGAGAGGTACAGATGAAATTTTCCTTATGTAATGGGGAAAGAGTTGAGGGCATTTTAACCTATTTACATAACAATGGGAAGTTTTGATATATTTCAAAAAATAAATAGTCAAATCGTTACTTTATGTATTGACAGAGTTAAAAGTTACCGTTAAAGATGTGTTTTTGATTTGAAAGTATAAACAAAAAAGGGGTGCCGTGAAATTTCAGGGTTGGGAGGGAGTGTCATTGAATTTAGACCTAATTAGAGATGATGTGGATGATATTTTTCCTATTTATTATTTAGTCTCTCAAAATTTTAATTTGTGTCAATTTGCTCAAATCTAAAATGACAATTTACACTAATTAATAAAGGTTGTCACATATGTCTCAAGTGATTATACTTGAGGGGTCATTTTGGTCTCAAATTTAAAATCCAAATCACTTTAGAATCTCAAGTTTCTAAAAATATTCCTCTAAGTGTAATCATGCAAAACCAATATGATCCCCTCTATGTAGGTTGACAAAATGTAACACAATTTGATTACCTGACATGAATTAACAGATTTGAATTTGACTTTAAATTTTAAATAGGAGTACCCAGGAATTGGAAATTGAATATGGAGTATTTGTTTTTTTGGGTTGTTTTGATTTTTTTTGCTTTATAATATGTTAGTTGTGGAATTTTGTTTTTGATGGATATGTTGAACGTTTAAATTTGGTGTGTACATAGTTTTTTTTTCTAATAAATGGGTCAAACGGATTTGTAATTGTAGCATGTGGTAGAGTTTGTAAAGTGACATAAGTAAAAGAATGGGGTACAAGGTGACACAACAGATACATAGCCAAAGTACTGACTACTGTATGTTTTAGATAGTCACAGGCCCTATCTCCTTAAACCCTAACCCCTGCACTACAACACTCTCAGACACGTAAGCCCTCTGTTCCGAACATCAACTATGGCGACCTCAACCGACGGCGGTGGCCTCGAAGCCCTCCACCGCCTGAAATCTACAGACCCGCCGGTGTACCTCTCACAGTCTCCGGACCTCTCTGAAGCCGCCCGCTTAGCCTCCCAATATATCTTCTCTTCCCTCACGCCCCACACTCCCAAATCACCTTTCACACACCTTTTGATCGAAGGCTTCGACGCCGAACAAATTTGGCAGCAAATTGACCTCCAATCACAGCCCTTAATCTCCACTCTTCGTCGTGAAATCAAGAAGTTCGAGAAAAACCCAGAAGAAATCTCGAAGCTGTTTCAGACTGTTGGTGTTAGGAACGAGAATTTAGAGGGAAAGAGTAAGGGTGTAGGTTTAGAGGGAGAGAAGAGGAATTTGGAAAGAGAGAGTGAGGATTTTGAGGGAGTGGAAGATAAAGTATTGGAGGTGTCTGACGAGGAGGAAGAAGAGGAAGAAGGAGAGGGAGAGGGAGAGGGGGAGGAGGAGGAGGAGGAGGAGGAAGAGGAGGGGGGTGGTGGTGGAGTGGAAGATGAGTTTTTGAAGATAAAGGAATTGGAGGAGTATTTGCAGGACGATGAGGCAAGAGAGTATGGGTTGGAAAGCAGGAAGAAAGGTGAGCGTAAAGTGTATAATGATGAGGAAGATGAGGATGGAAACGATGAAGAAGAGGAGCATGATGAAGGAGAAGATACCGATGAGGTGTGTATGAATGTTTGGGAGCTTAGTTCTATTTGTTAACGGATGTGGGCACAGAGTCTATTCTTGTATAGAAGAATTTCAATTTCGATTTGATTGTTTTAGAAATTGCTTGTTTTTGTTTTACACCGATGTGTCTTCTTGTGACTTGCATTTGCCTTTGTAGTTTGAAGCTCTTGGGCTCGAGGATGACGAGGATGATGAAAGGGGAGACAAGCTGAGAAATGCTAGGTGCTGCTTTCTTTTTCTTCTTCTTTATGAAAACATATATTCTGCTTTCCCCAGTTTAGCTCATGTTGTTTTGTGACATAAGCCATAAGAGAAATGAGTAAATGGGGAATTGGTTTTTAATTTTTACTTATTTGATCTCAAAATTTATGTAAGGTAAGATCTAACAACAATATTATTTATGTTAACATCAGGTTTAAAATCTCAAAGATTGATGAATATTCTGAATCAAATTCAAGTTGAAAAGATAACTTGTTGAGATTTTCGAAAACGTGGTAACTTGTGGAGTTTTTCGAAAACGTCTTATTGATGTTGAACGGGATATCAGTAGTCTTTGATAATTCTAATAATATGGATACTTGCACAATTCTTTTTCTTTCCATATCACATTCTGATGCTATTCATGTACTCATTTTTCTATAAGTATTCATCTACTCATGGATACATTTTCTACGCTTGCTAGATGCATCTCACCTCCTCCTTTATTGTGCTTAGTNCTTTCCACCCATGAAAAACAGCTTGCGAAGCAGCGTTCTATAATAGAGCAAATGGAGAAAGCAAACTTGGAACCAAAAGCCTGGACCATGCAGGGGGAGGTAAAGTTTTTCATTCCAGATATCTGCATTAGTTATGAATTGTGTGTTTCCCGGATGTTAATTGAATTCAAGTTGTAAAATGCAGTGGCATTCTATTTATAGCTCTCTGTAATGACAGGTAACTGCTGCTAAAAGGCCAAAGAATAGTGCGTTAGAAGTTGATCTTGATTTTGAGCATAATGTGAGACCTCCCCCTGTAATTACGGAGGAGGTTACTGCATCGATTGAGGAATTGATTCAGAAAAGAATCCTTGAGGTGAAATCCTTCTCTTCAGCAAAGTATTTGATGTTCATTCTATTGACTTAGGTCAAGCTTAGTTATTCTATTCAAGCCTTCTCTATTCCTTGGGCTGAGTTAGTTTTTTCCNCTTTCCACCCATGAAAAACAGCTTGCGAAGCAGCGTTCTATAATAGAGCAAATGGAGAAAGCAAACTTGGAACCAAAAGCCTGGACCATGCAGGGGGAGGTAAAGTTTTTCATTCCAGATATCTGCATTAGTTATGAATTGTGTGTTTCCCGGATGTTAATTGAATTCAAGTTGTAAAATGCAGTGGCATTCTATTTATAGCTCTCTGTAATGACAGGTAACTGCTGCTAAAAGGCCAAAGAATAGTGCGTTAGAAGTTGATCTTGATTTTGAGCATAATGTGAGACCTGCCCCTGTAATTACGGAGGAGGTTACTGCATCAATTGAGGAATTGATTCAGAAAAGAATCCTTGAGGTGAAATCCTTCTCTTCAGCAAAGTATTTGATGTTCATTCTATTGACTTAGGTCAAGCTTAGTTATTCTATTCAAGCCTTCTCTATTCCTTGGGCTGAGTTAGTTTTTTCCTACTTGAGAGTTCTTGTTATTTTGTAATCTGGATGTGTGTATAATGTACGATGAACAACTAAGGTACAAGATGATGTATGTAACCAAGAAGATGCTTAACCAGGGGTGGAGCCAGAAAGTTATGCTAGGGTGGGCACAAATATTTCAACAAACTAAATTTTTTTTTACAATCAATAGAAATAGGAAAATAATTTATATTTAATTACATCCTAGTTAATACTTAAAAGTTCATTAAACCCAACATACCAAAATTTGGTAAGCTTAGTATATACAAACGACACCATTTTTTTTTTTTTTTACAAAATATAGGCTAATTAAAATCATTTAGAATTAACTCCAACGAATTTTTATACTTTGAAACCGTTGCGTAATAACTTTATTATTTTTTATATACACCATCATTTTATCACTTTANAACCCAACATACCAAAATTTGGTAAGCTTAGTATATACAAACGACACCATTTTTTTTTTTTTACAAAATATAGGCTAATTAAAATCATTTAGAATTAACTCCGACGAATTTTTATACTTTGAAACCGTTGCGTAATAACTTTATTATTTTTTATATACATCATCATTTTATCACTTTGGTCTTTATATACGTAACATGTCCAAAATGTGTCAAAAAATTAATATTTATTTGATATAAGTGTACACTAATTGATGTGCCAAAAAAATAGGGTGGACATAACTAAAAATATTGAAGAAATACTAGAAATACATATTGGTAATGTTAAGAAAAAAAATTTGAGGGTGGACATGTGTCCCCCCGAGCATATGTTGGCTCCGGCCATGCTCTCTACTAAACCCATCAATTGTGCAAGGAACNTTAATATTTATTTGATATAAGTGTACACTAATTGATGTGCCAAAAAAATAGGGTGGATATAACTAAAAATGTTGAAGAAATACTAGAAATACATATTGGTAATGTTAAGAAAAAAAATTTGAGGGTGGACATGTGTCCCCCTGAGCATATGTTGGCTCCGGCCATGCTCTCTACTAAACCCATCAATTGTGCAAGGAACGACAAAAAAACGCAAGGAACTGAGGAAGGAGCTTTACTTTGTTTCTTCTCATTGGGCAACTGGGAGTGAGTGAGACAGAGAGGGAAAAAAAAAAAAGAAAAGATAACTAATAAGATAGGTGTTACTGATGTCTGTCAAGTGGGTCAAAAACTTTGTTTTTTAATGGTGGGCCAAAAGTTTTATTTTTTTAATAGGTTTGGGTGGATTGTGACAGGTCAAAATTTTGATTTTTTCATAAGTNGTTTTTTAATGGTGGGCCAAAAGTTTTATTTTTTTAATAGGTTTGGGTGGATTGTGATAGGTCAAAATTTTGATTTTTTAATAAGGTTTGATTGATAGTGGTGGGCTTAAATTTTTTTATTTTAAATGAGCTTAATTTTTTAATTCTTTTGAGTAATTAATATGGGCCTAATATTTTTATCTTAGATTTTGGATGGGGACAAATAATATATTATATAAATATATAATATATGTATTTAACTAATAATTTTTTTTTTTTTAGGGGGGACACGTGCCCACCCTAGCCCTGGCCTCCCTCCGCCGTTGTGCTGGTTCAATTTCACAAGACACCAAACAGTTCATATGGGAATTGAAGCACACAGAATTGAAAGTAGCATGATTTCCTAAGCTTTTGTAAAATTCCTTGATGTTGGGCTAGCAATGAGTTTTGACTTTTCGCCTAATCATTCAATTACATACCAATCTTTTCATCTCTGAAAATCTTAGAAGTTTCTTCGGATGCCACCATTTGTTTTGGAATCACATGCATTGCTTTCTCAAATCACTGTAGCTTATGATAGATCGACTAAAATCTCCTCTATCTCTATCTGATGTTTACTAATGAGCATAATTAATGCTGTTTTCAGGGGCGTTTTGATGATGTTCAGAAGGCTCATGCTTTAGCATCTAAAGCACCAAAACAAATAAAGGAACTGGTAATTTGTCGTTTCACCAAATGAATTTCGTGAGGTTAAGTAATATAAGCAAAGCATCATTTCTGTTGAAATATGCAGGATGAGAATAAGAGCAAGAAAGGTCTTGCTGAAGTTTATGAGGTCAGTGTACTTTATAATTCATTTATTTACTTGTGAGAAATACTGGCTGCTTTATGTGCTATAGACAACGTCCTTATCTATGTTTTCATATAGTTTGAAATTGAGTAGCGAATTGGTTATAATGAATCATGCCGACAGTTTCTTCTCTAAGTAGGAGTTAAAACTGTTTGCCTTCTACAATTGCAGGAAGAATATGTTCAGAAGACTGGCCTGGTTTCAGCAGCATTGTCTTTCTCAGATGAACAAAAGAAAGAGGTACACCTTATTTCTTTGCTTGTATGTGCTAACCTCTCTTTTTATCATAATTGGTAAGTATCTTATTTTTAGGTCGTTGAAACACTCATCTTTGTTGGTTGTACATGAGGATGCATCATAAATATCTAATAACGAAAATGACTTCTTTGACTTTGGTGGCTCTTTGACCAACCCTTTCCATCTCTTGCTAACCCCAAGAAGGAAGAAACAATCGAAAGAAAAACTAAAATGCAACAAACACACGTGAAACACTATATTGCTGGGCATTTTTGCTTTAGATGTTACTGAGCTTCCTTTTGGATATGACTGTACTCAGGCAGCATTGCTGTTCAAGAAACTGTGCTTGAAGTTGGATGCTCTATCTCATTTCCACTTCACTCCCAAACCAGTATGCTTCTCAATTATTTGTTGGTAAATTTTGGTTGACATTTCTAGGAGTTTATCTGAAGTGGGTGGATTTGGACAGGTTATAGAGGATATGTCTATACATGTAAATATCCCTGCCCTAGCAATGGAAGAGGTAACTTGTTATAGTCCATCGTTTCAATGAAAATTACATTTTCTTTGGGATATGTATCCAGTGATAGTTGTTATATAAACTTGTTTGTCTGGGCTTTCTACTGTAGATTGCGCCGGTGGCGGTCTCTGATGCAGCTATGCTGGCTCCTGAGGAAGTGTTTGCTGGTAAGGGAGATATCAAAGAAGAAGTAGAGCTAACACAAGCAGAAAGGAGGATGAGGAGAGCTAACAAGAAAAGGAAGTTTAAAGGTAAGCCTCGTGGCTTTATCATTTGAGTTGAAATAAATGCTCGGAAAAACTGTGGGGTCATATATATTTTGATGGTGCTGAACTGCACGATAATTTAGACGTAACTAAGCTGCTACTGTTATTCAGGGATGCTTTGTGAAGTTGCTTCACTGTTGATGCTGACTTATTTTGAGGAGATCTTTGATAAACTTGATATTTTGAAGCATGGCTGGCCTAGTTTACCTAGGAGAGAATAGTGCAGGGGATAAAGTTTCTCAGAAAACTCTTTTGTTTCTACTAAAAACTCAAAAAAAAAAAAGAAAGTCTTATGCAGTTAACTTGTACAAAAGTTTATTATGCCGGGCCATCTTGCAAGACACCAACATTAAATCTGTCATGCTTATCTTTTGGGAAGACTTTGGCCATACCTCCTGTTGATTGTGTCATATCTTCGAGGACAGCCCCTGATTATGATCTAAAATTTCATGAGGCACCTCCTGTCAGAATTTGTCCATTAATGGAGCTAATGTTTTACTTTCTCATCCACGAGTTTTATATAAGTTTACATAGTAACTGAAGTTAATGTGTAGTAGATGAATATCAAAGGGAAAAGACAGAGTAGTTGTGCGCCCTCCGTCGTCCCCGGCCTAGCACCATCCTTCTTTTCTTCCTGGAAAAACTTCCTCTGCAAAACCCTAACGCCACCTCCAACCCCTCCCGGACCATCACCGTCCAGCCCCTCCCCCAAACTCATGCTCTCACACCATCGAGTACAATCCATCTCCTTCTCAATGCTGCCACTGATACTGCCATGGAAATCCATGGCCAGATCAGTGACCTTGGCATCGTTGGTCTCAGGCGTCTCTCCTCTCTTTCCCCTTTTCTTTTACCGCTGAATGCAGTCCCATTGCCACTAGGGGTGTCAACCATGTCGGGTTAAATGGGCTGGTGTCGGGTCTAATCGGGTTTGTGTGAAAACCCATACATGACTTGTTTAATTAAATGGGTGAAAATCTACAAACCGAACACGATTCGTTTATTAAGCGGGTTACATGACACGACTCGTTTAATCTGTTTAATAAATTAATCGTGTTGGGTAGAGCCGGGTTAACATGATAACCCTTCTCTCCCAGAACAAGGGATTAAACCCCACTGCAACATCCACAAAACAGAAACAAAAAACAAAGCACCAGAGGATGGTGTACTTATTACAATTTTATCCTAAGCAGTGCTAGGAGAAAATGAGCTCATACTCAAATTTTACCCAATATTCCTGCCAGTTTTCCCATATATTTGATGCAAAAGGATCACCTATTACCATTTCTTCAAAACTACTTTTGTGGGATCAGTGAATTCAGCAAGCACGGGGGATAAATTGCAACTTTTTTTCTTATAGTAATATCCAGGATTAAATGTTTCATTACGTGTTTTCTTTTCACCAACAATTTTTATATGGTTGCAGCTGAGGCCGTGAAAAGGATGGCAAAGAAGCCACTTGAAAACACATTGCTAAGTCATGCCAGTGGTGATTATTCTACTTCCTTGTATTCTTCATCTCTCTTTTTTAGACCTCAAAATTTGAATTTGCTCACCCTTTTTCATAATGACATTGCAGGCAAGGAAGAATCATGAGCTCCCTCTAAGATTTCCTTTTATGTAGAGCTTGCTTCTCTATTTCCAGTTGAATTGCCAGTACATCTTGGAATTGCCTTGGATCGATGGTCCTGCAGGTTTTAACCGTGCAGATAGAAGAAAAGGATGTAAAAGAAAGAGAAAAACGTTGAGGTGGCGAGGATAGGAAGGCAAGAACGGTCACTTGAATGTAGCTGATTGAAATTTTGCTAGTCTGTGTCTTATTTATTTTTCCTTGTAATTTTGGAATCTCACTTGATAGTTTGCTCGTCATAGTACAAGCATTTGTCATAATGTTACCAANTCCCAGAACAAGGGATTAAACCCCACTGCAACATCCACAAAACAGAAACGAAAAACAAAGCACCAGAGGATGGTGTACTTATTACAATTTTATCCTAAGCAGTGCTAGGAGAAAATGAGCTCATACTCAAATTTTACCCAATATTCCTGCCAGTTTTCCCATATATTTGATGCAAAAGGATCACCTATTACCATTTCTTCAAAACTACTTTTGTGGGATCAGTGAATTCAGCAAGCACGGGGGATAAATTGCAACTTTTTTTCTTATAGTAATATCCAGGATTAAATGTTTCATTACGTGTTTTCTTTTCACCAACAATTTTTATATGGTTGCAGCTGAGGCCGTGAAAAGGATGGCAAAGAAGCCACTTGAAAACACATTGCTAAGTCATGCCAGTGGTGATTATTCTACTTCCTTGTATTCTTCATCTCTCTTTTTTAGACCTCAAAATTTGAATTTGCTCACCCTTTTTCATAATGACATTGCAGGCAAGGAAGAATCATGAGCTCCCTCTAAGATTTCCTTTTATGTAGAGCTTGCTTCTCTATTTCCAGTTGAATTGCCAGTACATCTTGGAATTGCCTTGGATCGATGGTCCTGCAGGTTTTAACCGTGCAGATAGAAGAAAAGGATGTAAAAGAAAGAGAAAAACGTTGAGGTGGCGAGGATAGGAAGGCAAGAACGGTCACTTGAATGTAGCTGATTGAAATTTTGCTAGTCTGTGTCTTATTTATTTTTCCTTGTAATTTTGGAATCTCACTTGATAGTTTGCTCGTCATAGTACAAGCATTTGTCATAATGTTACCAAAATATAGTTCTATAAAATAGAATTTGAAAAGTTCTCATCAAGATTTTTTTTTTTTTATTTGGTTGGTAACATCAGTGAAAGTTTTGATTCAATCCTATGCAGAGATAGCAACAGGATAGGTATAGAGTGGAATGCTCATTCTCCATTCCCACGGCATAGATTTAAACCCTTTCCTTATACCTGTCCTGCTCTGGTTATGGGATTTTTGCCAGCCCCACTCGCGTCATTTGGGATCTAGCAGATGATTGCATACTATCTCACCTTATTCCATTGCTTCCTCTCTTTCTTGTTCCTTGGTTAAATGAGCTACTATTCATCTCTAGGTCTGTTGATTCTCAAACTCAATATCAAGTCCTTGAGCGGATCCCAAGTTAGTCCCAAGACGTTAATCTTGCTCCGTTGCAATTCCTATTGTAGGAACGCAAGGTTTTTAGCCTGGCTCGCTCCTTAGGTGCCCTAACCAACGTCCGAGTTAGGCGCAACTATCTATCATGGATTCAACTTATCTTGAATTGTAGTTTTATCAATGACAAAGTTTCACCTACTATGTTTCTGAATAACCCGACTAATATTTATTCACTATCACAATAAATAAGAAAATTTGATCAGGCCGCCATCAGCTTCTTAGGCATAACTAAATCGCCACACCATTTGTTTCGTGTAAGCCCTCACAGGCTCACAGCAATTCCACTCAATTTGTAGCAGAAATTCCCTTTCAGTTGCCAGATAGGGTTGGACTTGAGACAACCCACGGGAGGAACTCCAACAGTGACTTGATTATAAAGTAACACCTGATACTACCTTAGTTTATTCTCTGACATAGGTGCGGTATGATTTTCTATAAATAGTTGTGCGGTGTTAAAAGACAATTCTCTCAAATAGATATGTAAAATAACCTATCTACATAGGGGTGTCCATGGGCCGAGCCGGGTTTGGCCGGTGAATTTTTTTCGGGTTGGTCCAGGGTAGTGTAGGCCCAAGTTTTTAAGCAAGTGATTTATCGGGCGGGCCAAACCAAACTTTGGGTAGGGGTAGGCTACCCGCAATCCAACCCGCGAGCTTATTGGGCTGACTTGCTGGGTGAGCCTACTCGCGGGCTGTTTTATATATAATTTTATTTTAAAATAATGAATATTTTTGTAATTTAATATTTGTGTAAATTATATTTTTGAATTAAAAGTAAAGTAAAAATAAATAAAAATAAAATAATGAATAATTTTATTTTTGATTAGGGGATGAACTATATCTAATAGAATGAATACATTTCAACTAAGTTGACACCTACTCACTTATTTATCATTTGTATTACTCTACCCTTTAAAACTTGTTTGCTTAATACATGAAAAAGAAAATAATACATTATTTATAGTATCTAAATTTTTACAATTTCAAATTTCGACATTAGGAGACTTATTTCAAAATTTCAAATTTAATGGTCTAAAAGTATAATTTTTTTTCAAATGAAAGGTGGACCGACTCTTGGGCCGGATTTTTTTGGACANGGTCACTTGAATGTAGCTGATTGAAATTTTGCTAGTCTGTGTCTTATTTATTTTTCCTTGTAATTTTGGAATCTCACTTGATAGTTTGCTCGTCATAGTACAAGCATTTGTCATAATGTTACCAAAATATAGTTCTATAAAATAGAATTTGAAAAGTTCTCATCAAGATTTTTTTTTTTTTATTTGGTTGGTAACATCAGTGAAAGTTTTGATTCAATCCTATGCAGAGATAGCAACAGGATAGGTATAGAGTGGAATGCTCATTCTCCATTCCCACGGCANGCCCTCTTTTTAAAGATATTGGGCTCGAGCTCGGACGGGCTAACTATCAGATTTATCAATTTTTAAACTTATTTTTTTGGGTCGAATAACAAAACTCGTGGTTACTTGACCCATAAATACCTCTATTANTTTTTTTTTTTTTATTTGGTTGGTAACATCAGTGAAAGTTTTGATTCAATCCTATGCAGAGATAGCAACAGGATAGGTATAGAGTGGAATGCTCATTCTCCATTCCCACGGCATAGATTTAAACCCTTTCCTTATACCTGTCCTGCTCTGGTTATGGGATTTTTGCCAACCCCACTCGCGTCATTTGGGATCCAGCAGATGATGCNTTATTTGGTTGGTAACATCAGTGAAAGTTTTGATTCAATCCTATGCAGAGATAGCAACAGGATAGGTATAGAGTGGAATGCTCATTCTCCATTCCCACGGCATAGATTTAAACCCTTTCCTTATACCTGTCCTGCTCTGGTTATGGGATTTTTGCCAGCCCCACTCGCGTCATTTGGGATCTAGCAGATGATTGCATACTATCTCACCTTATTCCATTGCTTCCTCTCTTTCTTGTTCCTTGGTTAAATGAGCTACTATTCATCTCTAGGTCTGTTGATTCTCAAACTCAATATCAAGTCCTTGAGCGGATCCCAAGTTAGTCCCAAGACGTTAATCTTGCTCCGTTGCAATTCCTATTGTAGGAACGCAAGGTTTTTAGCCTGGCTCGCTCCTTAGGTTCCCTAACCAACGTCCGAGTTAGGCGCAACTATCTATCATGGATTCAACTTATCTTGAATTGTAGTTTTATCAATGACAAAGTTTCACCTACTATGTTTCTGAATAACCCGACTAATATTTATTCACTATCACAATAAATAAGAAAATTTGATCAGGCCGCCATCAGCTTCTTAGGCATAACTAAATCGCCACACCATTTGTTTCGTGTAAGCCCTCACAGCCTCACAGCAATTCCACTCAATTTGTAGCAGAAATTCCCTTTCAGTTGCCAGATAGGGTTGGACTTGAGACAACCCACGGGAGGAACTCCAACAGTGACTTGATTATAAAGTAACACGTGATACTACCTTAGTTTATGCTCTGACATAGGTGCGGTATGATTTTCTATAGATAGTTGTGTGGTGTTAAAAGACAATTCTCTCAGATAGATATGTAAAATAACCTATCTACATAGGGGTGTCCATGGGCCGAGCCGGGTTTGGCCGGTGAATTTTTTTCGGGCTGGTCCTGGGTAGTGTAGGCCCAAGTTCTTACCCAAATGATTTATCGGGCGGGCCAAACCAAACTTTGGGTAGGGGTAGGCTACCCGCAGTCCAACCTGCGAGCCTATTGGGCTGACTTGCTGGGTGAGCCTACTCGCGGGCTGTTTTATATATAATTTTATTTAAAAATAATGAATATTTTTGTAACTTAATATTTGTGTAAATTATATTTTTGAATTAAAAGTAAAGTAAAATTAAATAAAAATAAAATAATGAATAATTTTATTTTTGATTAGGGGATGAACTATATCTAATAGAATGAATACATTTCAACTAAGTTGACACCTACTCACTTATTTATCATTTGCATTACTCTACCCTTTAAAACTTGTATGCTTAATACATGAAAAAGAGAATAATACATTACTTATAGTATCTAAATTTTTAAAATTTCAAATTTCGACATTAGGAGACTTATTTTAAAATTTCAAATTTAATAGTCTAAAAGTATAATTTTTTTTCAAATAAAAGGTGAACTGACTCTTGGGCCGGATTTTTTTGGACGGGTTATTGGGCTGCCCTTCGAGTGTGGTAATGGGTTTAAGGGTAAACTCAAGCCCTCTTTTTAAAGATATTGGGCTCGAGCTCGGACGGGCTAACTATCAGATTTATCAATTTTTAAACTTATTTTTTTGGGTCGAATAACAAAACTCGTGGTTACTTGACCCATAAATACCTCTATTATTTACATACCCATTTTGAGTGCGCGCGTACACAGAAAAAAAAAAAAAAAAAAGACGAAGAAACCCAGTACCAGTAGTTTCATATCCTTCAATAATTTTTTTGAACAGCCTGCAGAGACAGAAAGCAAACACAAACTCAAAAGCCGGCCCAAATCTTCTTGAAAACCCAAAATGCCCTCCCAAAAGAGCAGAAAACCCCATAAACAATTCAGCCAGATTCTTCAACACCTCAAAAGAAGTCCCCTAAAATCATGAATTCCTGTATGGGCAAATTATATTTTGGCCCCCCAATTATAACCGCGGTCTCACTTTTTCCTGTAATGTTTTAGACGAAAAATGGCAAAATTTCAATGAAAATACATACGTCCAATGTCTATAATCGAGACAACGTGAAACCAATAATCATAATTGCAATATTAAGTACACCATACTTGATGAGGCATTGCCAATATAGTTAGAAGGGTAATACGAGAAACGTGATAATAGACGAGAAAATATTCAAATATAACTTATTCTCATGTTACATTTAACCATTTCCTCAGCATCCCAAGCAAAGTATCATACTTCCCCACTATCCATCTACACATTCTNGCATACTATCTCACCTTATTCCATTGCTTCCTCTCTTTCTTGTTCCTTGGTTAAATGAGCTACTATTCATCTCTAGGTCTGTTGATTCTCAAACTCAATATCAAGTCCTTGAGCGGATCCCAAGTTAGTCCCAAGACGTTAATCTTGCTCCGTTGCAATTCCTATTGTAGGAACGCAAGGTTTTTAGCCTGGCTCGCTCCTTAGGTGCCCTAACCAACGTCCGAGTTAGGCGCAACTATCTATCATGGATTCAACTTATCTTGAATTGTAGTTTTATCAATGACAAAGTTTCACCTACTATGTTTCTGAATAACCCGACTAATATTTATTCACTATCACAATAAATAAGAAAATTTGATCAGGCCGCCATCAGCTTCTTAGGCATAACTAAATCGCCACACCATTTGTTTCGTGTAAGCCCTCACAGGCTCACAGCAATTCCACTCAATTTGTAGCAGAAATTCCCTTTCAGTTGCCAGATAGGGTTGGACTTGAGACAACCCACGGGAGGAACTCCAACAGTGACTTGATTATAAAGTAACACGTGATACTACCTTAGTTTATGCTCTGACATAGGTGCGGTATGATTTTCTATAGATAGTTGTGTGGTGTTAAAAGACAATTCTCTCAGATAGATATGTAAAATAACCTATCTACATAGGGGTGTCCATGGGCCGAGCCGGGTTTGGCCGGTGAATTTTTTTCGGGCTGGTCCTGGGTAGTGTAGGCCCAAGTTCTTACCCAAATGATTTATCGGGCGGGCCAAACCAAACTTTGGGTAGGGGTAGGCTACCCGCAGTCCAACCTGCGAGCCTATTGGGCTGACTTGCTGGGTGAGCCTACTCGCGGGCTGTTTTATATATAATTTTATTTAAAAATAATGAATATTTTTGTAACTTAATATTTGTGTAAATTATATTTTTGAATTAAAAGTAAAGTAAAATTAAATAAAAATAAAATAATGAATAATTTTATTTTTGATTAGGGGATGAACTATATCTAATAGAATGAATACATTTCAACTAAGTTGACACCTACTCACTTATTTATCATTTGCATTACTCTACCCTTTAAAACTTGTATGCTTAATACATGAAAAAGAGAATAATACATTACTTATAGTATCTAAATTTTTAAAATTTCAAATTTCGACATTAGGAGACTTATTTTAAAATTTCAAATTTAATAGTCTAAAAGTATAATTTTTTTTCAAATAAAAGGTGAACTGACTCTTGGGCCGGATTTTTTTGGACGGGTTATTGGGCTGCCCTTCGAGTGTGGTAATGGGTTTAAGGGTAAACTCAAGCCCTCTTTTTAAAGATATTGGGCTCGAGCTCGGACGGGCTAACTATCAGATTTATCAATTTTTAAACTTATTTTTTTGGGTCGAATAACAAAACTCGTGGTTACTTGACCCATAAATACCCCTATTATTTACATACCCATTTTGAGTGCGCGCGTACACAGAAAAAAAAAAAAAAAAAAGACGAAGAAACCCAGTACCAGTAGTTTCATATCCTTCAATAATTTTTTTGAACAGCCTGCAGAGACAGAAAGCAAACACAAACTCAAAAGCCGGCCCAAATCTTCTTGAAAACCCAAAATGCCCCCCAAAAAGAGCAGAAAACCCCATAAACAATTCAGCCAGATTCTTCAACACCTCAAAAGAAGTCCCCTAAAATCATGAATTCCTGTATGGGCAAATTATATTTTGGCCCCCCAATTATAACCGCGGTCTCACTTTTTCCTGTAATGTTTTAGACGAAAAATGGCAAAATTTCAATGAAAATACATACGTCCAATGTCTATAATCGAGACAACGTGAAACCAATAATCATAATTGCAATATTAAGTACACCATACTTGATGAGGCATTGCCAATATAGTTAGAAGGGTAATACGAGAAACGTGATAATAGACGAGAAAATATTCAAATATAACTTATTCTCATGTTACATTTAACCATTTCCTCAGCATCCCAAGCAAAGTATCATACTTCCCCACTATCCATCTACACATTCTCTTCCTTTTTTTCTCAAACACACTTTTGCTATCATCTCTCTCTCCAGCAGCTAAGTAATAGATCTGGAAGTGAGAAAAAAAAGTCTCTCTCCTCTAGCAGCCATGGATACCCTCCTTTTGATCACCACTCTCTCCATTGTATTTCAAACGCAAGTTCCACTAGTTCACAGCTATGGCCATGACAGTACCTGCAGATCATACTGTGGGAACATAACCNTTCAACTTATCTTGAATTGTAGTTTTATCAATGACAAAGTTTCACCTACTATGTTTCTGAATAACCCGACTAATATTTATTCACTATCACAATAAATAAGAAAATTTGATCAGGCCGCCATCAGCTTCTTAGGCATAACTAAATCGCCACACCATTTGTTTCGTGTAAGCCCTCACAGCCTCACAGCAATTCCACTCAATTTGTAGCAGAAATTCCCTTTCAGTTGCCAGATAGGGTTGGACTTGAGACAACCCACGGGAGGAACTCCAACAGTGACTTGATTATAAAGTAACACGTGATACTACCTTAGTTTATGCTCTGACATAGGTGCGGTATGATTTTCTATAGATAGTTGTGTGGTGTTAAAAGACAATTCTCTCAGATAGATATGTAAAATAACCTATCTACATAGGGGTGTCCATGGGCCGAGCCGGGTTTGGCCGGTGAATTTTTTTCGGGCTGGTCCTGGGTAGTGTAGGCCCAAGTTCTTACCCAAATGATTTATCGGGCGGGCCAAACCAAACTTTGGGTAGGGGTAGGCTACCCGCAGTCCAACCTGCGAGCCTATTGGGCTGACTTGCTGGGTGAGCCTACTCGCGGGCTGTTTTATATATAATTTTATTTAAAAATAATGAATATTTTTGTAACTTAATATTTGTGTAAATTATATTTTTGAATTAAAAGTAAAGTAAAATTAAATAAAAATAAAATAATGAATAATTTTATTTTTGATTAGGGGATGAACTATATCTAATAGAATGAATACATTTCAACTAAGTTGACACCTACTCACTTATTTATCATTTGCATTACTCTACCCTTTAAAACTTGTATGCTTAATACATGAAAAAGAGAATAATACATTACTTATAGTATCTAAATTTTTAAAATTTCAAATTTCGACATTAGGAGACTTATTTTAAAATTTCAAATTTAATAGTCTAAAAGTATAATTTTTTTTCAAATAAAAGGTGAACTGACTCTTGGGCCGGATTTTTTTGGACGGGTTATTGGGCTGCCCTTCGAGTGTGGTAATGGGTTTAAGGGTAAACTCAAGCCCTCTTTTTAAAGATATTGGGCTCGAGCTCGGACGGGCTAACTATCAGATTTATCGATTTTTAAACTTATTTTTTTGGGTCGAATAACAAGACTCGTGGTTACTTGACCCATAAATACCCCTATTATTTACATATCCATTTTGAGTGCGCGCGTACAAAAAAAAAAAAAAAAAAAAAAGACGAAGAAACCCAGTACCAGTAGTTTCATATCCTTCAATAATTTTTTTGAACAGCCTGCAGAGACAGAAAGCAAACACAAACTCAAAAGCCGGCCCAAATCTTCTTGAAAACCCAAAATGCCCTCCCAAAAGAGCAGAAAACCCCATAAACAATTCAGCCAGATTCTTCAACACCTCAAAAGAAGTCCCCTAAAATCATGAATTCCTGTATGGGCAAATTATATTTTGGCCCCCCAATTATAACCGCAGTCTCACTTTTTCCTGTAATGTTTTAGACGAAAAATGGCAAAATTTCAATGAAAATACATACGTCCAATGTCTATAATCGAGACAACGTGAAACCAATAATCATAATTGCAATATTAAGTACACCATACTTGATGAGGCATTGCCAATATAGTTAGAAGGGTAATACGAGAAACGTGATAATAGACGAGAAAATGTTCAAATATAACTTATTCTCATGTTACATTTAACCATTTCCTCAGCATCCCAAGCAAAGTATCATACTTCCCCACTATCCATCTACACATTCTCTTCCTTTTTTTCTCAAACACACTTTTGCTATCATCTCTCTCTCCAGCAGCTAAGTAATAGATCTGGAAGTGAGAAAAAAAAGTCTCTCTCCTCTAGCAGCCATGGATACCCTCCTTTTGATCACCACTCTCTCCATTGTATTTCAAACGCAAGTTCCACTAGTTCACAGCTATGGCCATGACAGTACCTGCAGATCATACTGTGGGAACATAACACTTGATTACCCATTTTCACTCCAATCAGGATGTGGCCATCCAGGCTTCCAGGACCTCTTATTTTGCATCAATGATGTTCTTATGTTCCACATTATCTCGGGTTCGTATCGTGTTCTAGACATAGACTATGCTTACCAATCCCTCACATTACATGACCCTCATCTGTCAACCTGTGACTCAATTGTCCTAGGAGGCCTCGGTAACGGGTTCGTGGTCGAGCAGTCTCGTGCCTCGTACCTCAACCCCACCTCGGACAATGTGTTCATGCTCATAGGTTGTTCAGTTTCATCACCACTGTTCCGAGGTTTCCCAGGAAAGCATCTACCATGTCGAAACGTTTCGGGCATGGGCTGTGAGGAGTACTATGAATGCCCAGCCTGGAACACAATTGGGTTCAGGAGGGTGGGCTCGGCGTATGGATCGGGCCTGCCAGAGTGTTGTGCAGTGCCATTTGAGGTCATGAAGGATGTGAACCTCAGCAAGCNATATAATTTTATTTAAAAATAATGAATATTTTTGTAACTTAATATTTGTGTAAATTATATTTTTGAATTAAAAGTAAAGTAAAATNTGAGGTCATGAAGGATGTGAACCTCAGCAAGCTTGATTGCCAGGGGTATAGCAGTGCCTACAGTCTCGCGCCGCTGCGGGCCTCCGGGCCGGGCCAGTGGGAATATGGGATACGGGTCAAGTACTCTGTGCAAGGGAATGGTGATTTCTGCCAAGTGTGTGAGGCTNCTAATAGAATGAATACATTTCAACTAAGTTGACACCTACTCACTTATTTATCATTTGCATTACTCTACCCTTTAAAACTTGTATGCTTAATACATGAAAAAGAGAATAATACATTACTTATAGTATCTAAATTTTTAAAATTTCAAATTTCGACATTAGGAGACTTATTTTAAAATTTCAAATTTAATAGTCTAAAAGTATAATTTTTTTTCAAATAAAAGGTGAACTGACTCTTGGGCCGGATTTTTTTGGACGGGTTATTGGGCTGCCCTTCGAGTGTGGTAATGGGTTTAAGGGTAAACTCAAGCCCTCTTTTTAAAGATATTGGGCTCGAGCTCGGACGGGCTAACTATCAGATTTATCGATTTTTAAACTTATTTTTTTGGGTCGAATAACAAGACTCGTGGTTACTTGACCCATAAATACCCCTATTATTTACATATCCATTTTGAGTGCGCGCGTACAAAAAAAAAAAAAAAAAAAAAAGACGAAGAAACCCAGTACCAGTAGTTTCATATCCTTCAATAATTTTTTTGAACAGCCTGCAGAGACAGAAAGCAAACACAAACTCAAAAGCCGGCCCAAATCTTCTTGAAAACCCAAAATGCCCTCCCAAAAGAGCAGAAAACCCCATAAACAATTCAGCCAGATTCTTCAACACCTCAAAAGAAGTCCCCTAAAATCATGAATTCCTGTATGGGCAAATTATATTTTGGCCCCCCAATTATAACCGCAGTCTCACTTTTTCCTGTAATGTTTTAGACGAAAAATGGCAAAATTTCAATGAAAATACATACGTCCAATGTCTATAATCGAGACAACGTGAAACCAATAATCATAATTGCAATATTAAGTACACCATACTTGATGAGGCATTGCCAATATAGTTAGAAGGGTAATACGAGAAACGTGATAATAGACGAGAAAATGTTCAAATATAACTTATTCTCATGTAACATTTAACCATTTCCTCAGCATCCCAAGCAAAGTATCATACTTCCCCACTATCCATCTACACATTCTCTTCCTTTTTTTCTCAAACACACTTTTGCTATCATCTCTCTCTCCAGCAGCTAAGTAATAGATCTGGAAGTGAGAAAAAAAAGTCTCTCTCCTCTAGCAGCCATGGATACCCTCCTTTTGATCACCACTCTCTCCATTGTATTTCAAACGCAAGTTCCACTAGTTCACAGCTATGGCCATGACAGTACCTGCAGATCATACTGTGGGAACATAACACTTGATTACCCATTTTCACTCCAATCAGGATGTGGCCATCCAGGCTTCCAGGACCTCTTATTTTGCATCAATGATGTTCTTATGTTCCACATTATCTCGGGTTCGTATCGTGTTCTAGACATAGACTATGCTTACCAATCCCTCACATTACATGACCCTCATCTGTCAACCTGTGACTCAATTGTCCTAGGAGGCCTCGGTAACGGGTTCGTGGTCGAGCAGTCTCGTGCCTCGTACCTCAACCCCACCTCGGACAATGTGTTCATGCTCATAGGTTGTTCAGTTTCATCACCACTGTTCCGAGGTTTCCCAGGAAAGCATCTACCATGTCGAAACGTTTCGGGCATGGGCTGTGAGGAGTACTATGAATGCCCAGCCTGGAACACAATTGGGTTCAGGAGGGTGGGCTCGGCGTATGGATCGGGCCTGCCAGAGTGTTGTGCAGTGCCATTTGAGGTCATGAAGGATGTGAACCTCAGCAAGCTTGATTGCCAGGGGTATAGCAGTGCCTACAGTCTCGCGCCGCTGCGGGCCTCCGGCCCGGGCCAGTGGGAATATGGGATACGGGTCAAGTACTCTGTGCAAGGGAATGGTGATTTCTGCCAAGTGTGTGAGGCAACAGGTGGGTCTTGTGGGTATGACATTCATGGGGGTACTCACTTGTTGTGTATGTGTGGGAATTGGAATTCTACAACAAATTGTGATTCGGGTAAGACAATCAATCAACCTTATACTTTGAATCTTCCTTTGTGGTCATCCTTGGGATTTATCTCGATAATTGTTTGGTGCATGTTGGTCGAGGATTATACCATGTTGGAAAGAATGAGTCGAATGCTTTAAGGGCCATGTTTGGTTCATGATTTTAGGTGGGATTCATAGTGCTTTTGTCAAAATAGTCCAATTCATCACCTTATTCCTTGTTTGGCTCCACATTTCAGGATTGGGATTTGAATTCCAACCCGTAAGTAAAACCCATATATAAGGGTTTCAACAAACCCATGAGGTGGGTGAGTTTAGGCAATTCCATCGCAGATATACGGTGATATTTATGATTAATCTATAAGTCTTATGTGCATTTGTGTCACTTACCAAACATGAGATTAGATATGGTACATTATTCAATCTCATAAACAAAACCTAAATGTTGGGTTTAGAAGAGTTTTATAAATCCAATCAAATTCCGATCTTAAAAATCAAAATCATCCAAACAGAAGGTGTAGACATCTAGCAATTAAGAAAAAAAATATTTTTATATGATTTTTGAAAAGTCTAAAGTTACTAGGCAAAGTGGTTTGGGGTGAGTGATTATGGAACTCTCACCTCAAACATGTCATGAGGTCGAGTTTCACTAACTGTATAGCTGTTGTCTTACTTGGCCCTTCCCTTTTTTCACTAAGCTAGATCTGTCATCATATATCAAAAATAAGATGCAAGTAATGATTCTTTTTCATTTAAACCAGCTAGATATGGACCANGGCATAGATTTAAACCCTTTCCTTATACCTGTCCTGCTCTGGTTATGGGATTTTTGCCAGCCCCACTCGCGTCATTTGGGATCTAGCAGATGATTGCATACTATCTCACCTTATTCCATTGCTTCCTCTCTTTCTTGTTCCTTGGTTAAATGAGCTACTATTCATCTCTAGGTCTGTTGATTCTCAAACTCAATATCAAGTCCTTGAGCGGATCCCAAGTTAGTCCCAAGACGTTAATCTTGCTCCGTTGCAATTCCTATTGTAGGAACGCAAGGTTTTTAGCCTGGCTCGCTCCTTAGGTTCCCTAACCAACGTCCGAGTTAGGCGCAACTATCTATCATGGATTCAACTTATCTTGAATTGTAGTTTTATCAATGACAAAGTTTCACCTACTATGTTTCTGAATAACCCGACTAATATTTATTCACTATCACAATAAATAAGAAAATTTGATCAGGCCGCCATCAGCTTCTTAGGCATAACTAAATCGCCACACCATTTGTTTCGTGTAAGCCCTCACAGCCTCACAGCAATTCCACTCAATTTGTAGCAGAAATTCCCTTTCAGTTGCCAGATAGGGTTGGACTTGAGACAACCCACGGGAGGAACTCCAACAGTGACTTGATTATAAAGTAACACGTGATACTACCTTAGTTTATGCTCTGACATAGGTGCGGTATGATTTTCTATAGATAGTTGTGTGGTGTTAAAAGACAATTCTCTCAGATAGATATGTAAAATAACCTATCTACATAGGGGTGTCCATGGGCCGAGCCGGGTTTGGCCGGTGAATTTTTTTCGGGCTGGTCCTGGGTAGTGTAGGCCCAAGTTCTTACCCAAATGATTTATCGGGCGGGCCAAACCAAACTTTGGGTAGGGGTAGGCTACCCGCAGTCCAACCTGCGAGCCTATTGGGCTGACTTGCTGGGTGAGCCTACTCGCGGGCTGTTTTATATATAATTTTATTTAAAAATAATGAATATTTTTGTAACTTAATATTTGTGTAAATTATATTTTTGAATTAAAAGTAAAGTAAAATTAAATAAAAATAAAATAATGAATAATTTTATTTTTGATTAGGGGATGAACTATATCTAATAGAATGAATACATTTCAACTAAGTTGACACCTACTCACTTATTTATCATTTGCATTACTCTACCCTTTAAAACTTGTATGCTTAATACATGAAAAAGAGAATAATACATTACTTATAGTATCTAAATTTTTAAAATTTCAAATTTCGACATTAGGAGACTTATTTTAAAATTTCAAATTTAATAGTCTAAAAGTATAATTTTTTTTCAAATAAAAGGTGAACTGACTCTTGGGCCGGATTTTTTTGGACGGGTTATTGGGCTGCCCTTCGAGTGTGGTAATGGGTTTAAGGGTAAACTCAAGCCCTCTTTTTAAAGATATTGGGCTCGAGCTCGGACGGGCTAACTATCAGATTTATCGATTTTTAAACTTATTTTTTTGGGTCGAATAACAAGACTCGTGGTTACTTGACCCATAAATACCCCTATTATTTACATATCCATTTTGAGTGCGCGCGTACACAGAAAAAAAAAAAAAAAAAAGACGAAGAAACCCAGTACCAGTAGTTTCATATCCTTCAATAATTTTTTTGAACAGCCTGCAGAGACAGAAAGCAAACACAAACTCAAAAGCCGGCCCAAATCTTCTTGAAAACCCAAAATGCCCTCCCAAAAAGAGCAGAAAACCCCATAAACAATTCAGCCAGATTCTTCAACACCTCAAAAGAAGTCCCCTAAAATCATGAATTCCTGTATGGGCAAATTATATTTTGGCCCCCCAATTATAACCGCGGTCTCACTTTTTCCTGTAATGTTTTAGACGAAAAATGGCAAAATTTCAATGAAAATACATACGTCCAATGTCTATAATCGAGACAACGTGAAACCAATAATCATAATTGCAATATTAAGTACACCATACTTGATGAGGCATTGCCAATATAGTTAGAAGGGTAATACGAGAAACGTGATAATAGACGAGAAAATATTCAAATATAACTTATTCTCATGTTACATTTAACCATTTCCTCAGCATCCCAAGCAAAGTATCATACTTCCCCACTATCCATCTACACATTCTCTTCCTTTTTTTCTCAAACACACTTTTGCTATCATCTCTCTCTCCAGCAGCTAAGTAATAGATCTGGAAGTGAGAAAAAAAAGTCTCTCTCCTCTAGCAGCCATGGATACCCTCCTTTTGATCACCACTCTCTCCATTGTATTTCAAACACAAGTTCCACTAGTTCACAGCTATGGCCATGACAGTACCTGCAGATCATACTGTGGGAACATAACANCCCGTAAGTAAAACCCATATATAAGGGTTTCAACAAACCCATGAGGTGGGTGAGTTTAGGCAATTCCATCGCAGATATACGGTGATATTTATGATTAATCTATAAGTCTTATGTGCATTTGTGTCACTTACCAAACATGAGATTAGATATGGTACATTATTCAATCTCATAAACAAAACCTAAATGTTGGGTTTAGAAGAGTTTTATAAATCCAATCAAATTCCGATCTTAAAAATCAAAATCATCCAAACAGAAGGTGTAGACATCTAGCAATTAAGAAAAAAAATATTTTTATATGATTTTTGAAAAGTCTAAAGTTACTAGGCAAAGTGGTTTGGGGTGAGTGATTATGGAACTCTCACCTCAAACATGTCATGAGGTCGAGTTTCACTAACTGTATAGCTGTTGTCTTACTTGGCCCTTCCCTTTTTTCACTAAGCTAGATCTGTCATCATATATCAAAAATAAGATGCAAGTAATGATTCTTTTTCATTTAAACCAGCTAGATATGGACCAAAACCCAATTACAGCTTCCAATTCCAATCATCACTGTCATTCTTCTTGTTTTTTTACGAATAATACTATTGTTACCAAAATTTTTATCAAGTTTTCTATTTTAAATTAATTTAAGTAGTTAGATTAACGGGTTCTACTGAATTTCACTTGCCATTCAATGCTGTCAACATGCCACATGGTATCCAAAATTTAATAGAAGTTTTGGATAGACAACATTATTTGTTTTTTAATCCCTATCGGTTTATGTGCAGTCCAGTCGTCATCGTATAGAGGAACATGGCCTTTAATGCAGACACTAGCAGGTACCTTCAACAGTCCCCCCCTCTCTCTCTCTCTCTCAAATTCGTATTCTTCAATTTCTTTTTCATTTGGCTTGTTAATCTGTTAGAACTCACACTTTTGAAAAAAAAAATTTGTAGGGTTTTTGTTCTTTATGGTTGTTTGGATCACATCCTGCCAGATTTGACTAATGAGGTCCAAAATCGACATCTCTGGTGCATTCTCATCAGCCTAGTAGTTGCTGTCAACCGTGTGTTTTTTTTTTGGGTAAGTACTGTCAATCATGTTAACTTGTACATTAGTATGCATTGCTCCAAGCGCGCGCACACACACTCAAAATGGGCAGTGCCAATAGTAGTTGGGCATTTATCATTATTAAACTTGCTCCTGTTATTCATTGAGCATCATTGTGGCTTCCACACATCTCTGTCCTTTGAGCTATTGCTGGTTTCCAATCAAGTCTAACTACTTCTTACTGGCCAAGCATCAACTCTCTCTCTCTCTCTCTCTCTCTCTCTCTCACACACACACACACACACACACATAGAGGTTACCATCCTCATTTAAAGGACAAGAATGACATTAAATTGAAGAAAGGCAAGAGGGATAGGGTGGAACTGCTTTCATGTGTAGTAATTACCTACAATAAAACAGGAAAATTTTGTGTATAAAACTTGTGATTCACAAAAGTTGTTTACCACTAGTGAGTAGAATCTTCAAACATAATCTGAAACATAAACCTTATATCTTCAACTGCTTAATTCCAAGTGGCTAGCCTATATGTCTACTGATGATAACCCACTATTTAGTTCCCATAACATAAATTACAGCCCCTTTACCTTAACCCTCTAAACCAATCCACCAGCCCAGAAAATAACTAAAAGTTTGTGTGTCATCAAGTCTACTATAACGCAGCTGCTGAAAGGTTGACAGAGAGGAAAAGGCTAATAAACTGGAAAGACTGTTCCAAGGATAATGTGTGTCACTTAGATGCAAAAATGGCTTCCAAATCTTTGTACAACCCTCTCGGTTTTGACTTGAAATCCAATGAAGAATTCGTAGATGAGCTCCCACTTCTCTTAGCACCCCAGAACCTGCTGCTCCATTTGGAATGACTAGTCGATGGAACATTTGGATCTCCACTTCTTTCTTTACTAAAGCTAGCCTTTGCTAGTTCTCTAAGTTGTCTCAGCCATGGTTTATCACCCGAGGTTCTACCACCAGAGCTAGAGCTCGTATTCCTCTCATCAAATGAAGCAGGATCCCCTGTTTTTCCAGCCCCACGATTGTTCAGGGAAAATTTGCTATCCAGGTTTTTTATTAGCCCTTGTGGCATAAAGAATAGGAGTCCAATTGAAGCTGTTTTCAAACCCAACAAGAAAGAGTCCCCAGCAGTGTCCAGTTGTTTTGTCTGTCTGTACAAAGCATGCCACTCATTGATCATTTGGGCCATAAAAGCCAGAAAGAATAATGAAAGCATAAAGATCCCAATTTTCATCTCCTCCCTGGCTGAAAATTCCTTCTCTAAGAGAACCAAACAAGTAGAGAAAATGCCCACTTCGCTGCAAACTGAGATTATCTCAACTAACTGAACCTTCTTCTTAATAAATGGCTTCTTAAGAACCATGAAGAAGAGTTGAAAAGATGTCATGCACAGTAGGATGATTGCAGAACTTTTACCAGACCAGTTTCCTGAGGAGGCACCAGCCACAATCCCCAGAGAAACCCGTTTCAAAGAATCAAGCAAAGTGTAGTATATTCTGAGAATTCCAAACAGCTTTTGGTTAAAAGGTGCTTCTGCTCCTTCTGTTTCATCATCCGAGTCAATTATTTTATCACCACGCCTCTGCAGATTCCCCCTGGAAATTTGAAAGAGCATGTACTTTGGAGGGCCCCTTAGATCTTCAAATAAGGGCCCAAGCATGGTAAGATAAACAGAGTTGGATAGGTTCTTCCATGTCCACTGGCCTTTTTTACCAGGACCCAGAGTTACCCGGACAAGTTCTTGATACCAGTGGAATTTCAGGCCCTCATGATGTACCTCCTTATATTGAAGCAGCTTCCCCAATGTAATTCCGATGGAGAGGAACAACAACAAGGCTAGCAGTAGAAAAGACACCAAACCAAATAGCAAAATGCCTACTATAATACCTGAAGTTGTCCCTCCTTGGAATAAGATAATAAAATACACTGACTAAATTAGTATAATGGGGGACTCAAAGTTATAGCCTAAATTAAACTGAAATGAGTAATTTGATCTTGGATATTTCGATCAGCTAATGAAGTTCGTCATACAGAATGAAATTAGGTGGTGAATGTAGCTCTCAAAACACTATAAACATATTGCAGTAAGGTTGCTCCATAACAACTTGGGTGTCAAACAGCCTCCCTGCATATGGAAGTAAAGTATCTTATATGTGATCCTCCCTAGACTCTCAGTGGCAAGTCTCATGCACCAGGCCTCTCTTTTTACTTAGGGGTNAGGTTGCTCCATAACAACTTGGGTGTCAAACAGCCTCCCTGCATATGGAAGTAAAGTTTCTTATATGTGATCCTCCCTAGACTCTCAGTGGCAAGTCTCATGCACCAGGCCTCTCTTTTTACTTAGGGGAAAAAACAGATTTGGGCAGTTGATGCCTAACTGTTGGGCAAGACAACATTAGCAAGGAGCTGATTTTTTCATTGGAGAAGCATTTTACAAAAAGGAATTTGCTGTAGATAAGTTTGCTCTGGAAAGACTGAGCATAGCAGGAACTGCTTACCTAACTTCATTTATTCATAAATTTCCAGAAAACAATACGCTTATGAACACGGAATGAAGGATGTGACATATCATCATATGGAAATTGGACAAACACTAGTATTTGGACCCTTTAAGACTCAAAGTCAGCATACCATAAAACAACCTTAATGAAGTTTGCACAAAGATTCCATCCAACTTTCACCTAATTTCATTCTTGGATTGGATGTCGCATGCATGGGTGATATATGCTTTTCACACAGAATTGCAATAAAAATTTTGAGAGGTGCTCCATCTCCATTTTAAAAGATTAGCATGCGTTGTAGCTCTACACAGGCTGTGGTTAAAGGTTACAAAGATGAGAGCAACAATGTGTGCTACACTTCTTGATATGGAGCAACTCTAACTTGATTGCCAAAATGGCAGTAAGTCAAGGATCTTTTTGATAAGGTTGTACATACGCGTACTGACATTTGAAAGTGTAATTGTTGCATGTTGTCATATGTGCACAGTAACATGGGGAATTATAGTTAAACTTCAGGAAGCATAAAATAAGGTAGAGTACAACTAATAAATTTGAGGTACCTCTAATTAGAGTTGTCGAGGCTGCACAAACACAAGGAACTGCAAGAATTACAAGGAAGATCTCAAATCTTGGCAATATCAATGCTCCATAAATCCTCTGTTTCTCTGAGTTTGTCTTCAAAAATTTTAGAATAAGGAGGAGTAAGGCATGCAACAGTATTAAGCTGCCAGCAACTACTGCTAACCAAAACATGCTTCTATTAAAATCCCTCCACCTGTAAGGAAAAGGAAAACAAAATTAACCAGTTGAAAGATAAATGAAAGGATTTTGTCATACAGAAACACATACACTGAAACACCCAACCATGAAATATAGTCTTCTCAGTTGATCAGCATCTCTAGTATTGCTAGTACCATAGATGAATTTTAATTGATGAATTTTCACTTCATCGCAAAAGAGAGACGAGCATTAAAGATGATAACATCCAGTGAATTTTTCCCTTTATCTTTATGTCATTAAGTTTCTGCGGTATATTTATCCATTATGTTCCAAATTTTAGCCATCTTAAAGATTGAATTATTTTCGACATTCCTCCATTTCTTGAGAATTAATATGGAAGAGTACGATTTGATTGATAGGGGGTAGAAGATGAGATGTCCCAAAAACTTACCCATTTGAATTATGTGGATCCAAAATATATTGAGCTTCTGGAATNTATGTCATTAAGTTTCTGCGGTATATTTATCCATTATGTTCCAAATTTTAGCCATCTTAAAGATTGAATTATTTTCGACATTCCTCCATTTCTTGAGAATTAATATGGAAGAGTACGATTTGATTGGTAGAGGGTAGAAGATGAGATGTCCCAAAAACTTACCCATTTGAATTATGTGGATCCAAAATATATTGAGCTTCTGGAATGATATTTCTGCTCTGCCAGTAAAAGTTGCACTCTATCAGAATAGTCCACATAGAATCACATAACAAACTAAGGTTAAAGTAATCACCTCAAAAAAAGATCTATATTCCACTGCGGTAAGTGGCAACCCATATATCGAGGCAGCCATATCCAAACTCTTAAGAATTCCTGAATCGTGAATTTTGGAACTATACGAATGTGGATTGGTAGGGGAACTTGAGCCGACCATGGCTGGCTGAACATTGCCCATTTCCCATGGAAGATTGAAGTAGGGAATACTCCACTGTAATCCTCTTGCAAATTCGTAATATTCAACTGGCAAGGCAACTGCCAACCATCTAGACAATGCATAAACCTGAATGTGGCATGCAATTCTCTGTAACAAAGAAAAACACACAGTATGCAGTTAATTTTATGATTGGTTCGCCAGGCAATCTATTAGATGGATGCATCCCCTTTGTGTCCACGGACCATCACCTATAGATAAGAGCAATGGTATGGAGAAAAGGGGGCAATTATGTTCATTGTTGAGAGAAGAGTATAATATAAATTGCTTCATTTAGAAATGCATTAGGATCTGTTTGGTCGCGAAGAAGATATAGAAAAGGAAAAGGAAACCTGGCTATAACAGGAAAAATTTCAAGCCCCAGTATTTTTAAAGTTTCTTTTTTGTCACTTTGCATCGTTGGCATCCAAATGGAGCTTGAATGTTGGGTCAGTGTAAAGGTGCACAAGACGCCATAATACAATAAAGTAATCAAGTAAGTGCTCAACAGAGAGGGGTGTCTTACAAAAAGATTTCTTGCAGAATCAGATGTTAAAGAAGAAGACGGTGTTGAAATCACCCCAATAGACTGAAGGCTTGCGGTTGAAATGGTGAGGAGACCTGCTGCTAAAGATGTCACTGCAAAAGCAGTAGTTGCAAAGATTGAAAGCACCAAAGAGATCACAGGCACGGTATCTGTACATAATTCGTTAATTAGATCAGAAAGTGACAAAAAATTAAAAGAAAACCATATTTGTGAATGATATTGATGTCCAGAGCGAAAAAGCCATTGGTAAGCAAAAAAGATAAAATCCTTACAGTGCCTAACTTGCATAATATTTGACGCTAGATTTCTGTTTCCAGCAACATCCGCAGTTATGTTTTCAGGAACACTGACAAATATGATATCATCATCTGCTTGTATATCTACAGCATATATGCTCCTACTCATCTCATGAAAGCTGAACAGCACATAAAAACAAGACAAGTAATAATAAGTTAGTGGTTCATATAATTTATTTCTAGTCAATAAACTTGAGAAGGTACACTTGTGATTTTCTAAAATGTCTGTCTTTGTCAGCAGCAACAACATATATGCATTTGACACACAAAATAACATGAATATAATCTATGAATAACATATGCCAAGTTACTAACCTCTGCAATTGTCCTCCAGATATGGTTATATGAGAAGAGTTGAAACCAAACACAGGCTTCACAAATTTTATCAACACTGAGATGCTGGTTTCTCTTGTCCTCATCTTAGAGGTCGTACTTAAACTCACTGCAGGCCTTCGAGGATCTGGAGGATTAACAGACATTCAAGATCTCAAAACCAGATCAAATCTCACTTATGCAATCCTTAAGACAAAGCCATGTCATTTGCATAGACTATGCAGAACTCCCTCTATAAGTATCTATGAACAGAGAAAAGAAAAGTAGTTTTTATATTATTCCATAAGTTCCTGAGGAAGTTGTATTACATACCATAAAGGAAAGTAACTGGTGTTATAGGAGAAACTGGGGTCCCTTGTTGGCTTATTACTAACTTTGAATCAAGGCTCACTGTGACTATGGCCATGCTTGATATATTGTCAACCTGAACGAATGGACCATGGATACGTGAGTTCGACCAGAGTTAAAAAGAACTTGAGTTTATGTGAGATGAGCATCAGTAAATCAAATCCACAATATATTTAGCCTAAGAGGAAACTGACCTTAAAACCAAATCTGCGATTCCCAAGGTTATTGCCAGTGGTTGGAAGAAGCGAGCCCTGACTTGTATTGAGAGCGTTCAAAATTTCAGCAGACGAGTTGAGGACAGGTTTGGTGAAGTACAAGTATACCTTTAGTTTCTTATGCTCATTAGTTGCTAGAACTGTTCTAGTTTCACTGTTAAGTTGAAGCAGCATTTCAGGTATATGAGTCCGTAGGTTAACAAACACACTTCTTCTATCTGTGGATTTCAACAATCAAAAGATCAAGGGCAGTTGTGCAAGTGACAGATAAGAGTTTATAATTGAAATAGATTTTTCTCCTGAAAATGAATTCTTGCAGCAAACTTTTATAAAAGTTTCCACCCAATGTCGTTCGAGAGTGGAAATTTTACTAAAACTTTTGACAACACTTGACGTTCACATATACTAATTGTCAACTTATAGAGTGGGGTATGTAGGTAACTTTCAAAATACTAAGAAAAAGGGTAAGTTAATTAATCATGCCACAGACATGGGCACTGTTTAGACCACACCAAATTTAATGATAACTACTACATATCATTTAGGAATCCTCTTTTCAAAAGGAGATTATTAAAAATATTACAGCAATGTGTCATGAAGTTTTGAAGAATAGGACTCACCGAAGTGTACCAAGAAACTCGAATTCACTGTCCTAGTAAATTTGTTTCCTGCAGAGTCTGTACAGAAATTTTTATCCATTACCAATAGCACCCGACCATACTGAGTGCTTGAAGACAAGCTCACAATTATGGAAAATTTGAGGTTTGGCTGAGTAACATTGAGGGTATTTGGCTCAACCTGGCCGGCACCATAAACGAGAAGCTGCAAACACAAACCCATTAATCAATCAGCACTTATTTTATTATTCAGCTGGCAAAGCATCACTTGTTAAATTTGAGGCAGCCACCTACTCACGTTGCAGTCATTCACAGATGTACATCTAAAACCACCTCCACCATGACAGGGCTCAGTGAACAAAATATTGACAGGAATATTTGAAGCATTTGTAAAAGATGTAGCAGCTGTAACATATGCCGTCGGGGGAACTGTGTCTGCAAAAAGAACAGATATAGCAGGATTAGAGAGAAGAATTTCATGGATGTTAAAAAAGACTATAGAGCTGACTTCAGAGTTCAGACCAGTAGACACATGACCCCATGCCTAATTTATTTGCAAACCAACCTTCTGTGTAATTAGATATGTTTAAAGGAACAAGTAATCTAAAAAACCCAAAAGCTTCACTCTGCAAACGGCAAGATGACATTGCGCCTTAGACATTGTAACAAAGTGGTGGATGATAATTTTGATATTCTAAGGCTTCAACTGAAATGCAACCAAAATAATTTGATTAAAAAAGGGAGAAATAGTCATGATATATGCACATCAATACAATACAAACATGATCATCTTCCAGTTTATCTTTTTCTTCTGAACAACAGGCATGAGACAACAAGATTTGACAAAAACAATTGTATAAAAGGATTCATGTGAAGGCTAATAGAATTTAAAGATGGGAATTTTTTTTGCTATAGACTAGAGTAATGCAGTCTAAAAATTAACGAGTCATAAAGGATATAGGGTGATCTCTTTACCAACAGTCCAGTTATAGGAAGCGCAGCCAACTCCTCCAGATCCCGTGGTGCACACCTCAAATGTATGATTTCCATCCTGCAAACCTATGTAAGAAACTTCTCCAGCTGCACAATTTGAAGCTGCGTAATCATCCAGCTGCATGCACAGGATATATTAACAAAATCAATAAGAAACATTAGAGAAAATCCATTAAATAAGTATTGTAAGGCCTCCTTTTCAGGTTAGCCTTCTCATCCATGAATAACGCGGCCAAAAAAAGAGAGCTAATAAATAGAAATACAATATGCAATATACTCTTGATATTTGGCATCTGGGAGCTTACTAGAAATTGCAAGTATAATGGTTATAGTTTTTTCAGTAAATATTACAATCATGCGGGAGATAACTGTTGTAAATATTACTCTTCTACTAGACGGTTGTTATTTGAAAATTGACGAGCCTAGACCATGAGTTAAGCCCAAATCATCAAAAAGGCTAGGCCAATTTCAAAGCTTCGGTCCAGTCCAAATCCCAAGAGTTCATTTGGCTTGTTCCACTTAAAGCCGCTTATAGAGTTCTATAAAACTGTANTAATGGTTATAGTTTTTTCAGTAAATATTACAATCATGCGGGAGATAACTGTTGTAATATTACTCTTCTACTAAACGGTTGTTATTTGAAAATTGACGAGCCTAGACCATGAGTTAAGCCCAAATCAACAAAAAGAATAGGCCAATTTCAAAGCTTCGGTCCAGTCCAAATCCCAAGAGTTCATTTGGCTTGTTCCACTTAAAGCCGCTTATAGAGTTCTATAAAACTGTATTCTAGTTACCTGAAACTATTCTTTCAAATAGACATTAGTACACATATACAGAGTAAATTTATTCATCAAAGACAACTTATTCAAACCAAATACCTACATGAACATGAGAAACATAAAACACCCATACAGAGACATGCATTCAAACGGCGCAAAAGCAGTATACACCATGCAGAACTAGATATACAAATACAGAATCAACCAACCAACCTTGCAATTGGTGGTACAATTTGTGCAAATGTTTTCTTTACCATCCACCAAAACTTGAAAATCAAATGTAGCGGAATTCAGATTTGAGAATACATGAGGGGTCTTCAAGAACTTCACAATGACTTCTGAACCATCACAGTGAGGTTTGAGACACAATACCACAAAAAATACCCAACATTGCAAGATCAACCATCGAGATTTGTTCAAACCCATTCTGTTAAACTAGCTACAAGTCCTCTTAAATCTCAGACATGCAAAACATGAGTTTGGATTTCGTTTAAATGGCTCATGAGTTGAAACTCAAAAGTGTGAACATAGGCATTTGCGGATATATCCGTGTAGTGTAGAGTAGAGAACTGTGGATATCAGAGCCTTTGTGTGGTGGAACTAGTGATGAACAGAATAAGAGAAAGAAAGATTTAAGAATAGATAATTGAAGCAAAAGATAAATTAGATAAATGGATTGGTGGTTGATGAAGGTTGGTGGTCGATGAAGGTTGGGTTGCGGATATAGTACGAGACTGACAGTGAAGCACATTGTAATGGATTGTACATGTGTGCGCGAGAGAGACAGAAGAAACAAGACGCTAGCGAGAAACACCACTTATTAATGATTGGGTGTGGGGGGGCCTTTGTGCTGTACATGGACGTAGGGATAATAATTGAGCTGAAGTTTCGAGTTTTAAACGAGTATACAAAATTATTTAAATTTTTTAATTATTTTATATATAAACGTATTAAATTCTGTAAATTTGAATTGCATATTTTAAATTTATTTTTTTAAACAAGCTTAAAAAATTATTCTCACTTAAATTGCTAGTCGAACTCATATTGACTCATATACAAATCGAATCGAGTTGAGTCAAAATAAATTGACCCCATTATCACTCTTACATTGAGGACTTGCAATTCAAAAATAATGTATGAGAGAGATAATTAATTAAATTTTAAACTTAATTTTTCAAATATCATAATTTTAAATTTATTTATTGAATTATCATTGTTTTTCAATAAAAATGTATTTCTTTTCAAAAATGCTTGACTATTTTAGACCTAAAATCTAATGTAATTTGTTGATATAATTATGTGACTTCAGTAAAGTTATTGGATCAACATTAAGTTTTAATGTTTGATGAGCTCTATAATCAATTTAAATCAATAAATTAAGTTACAACAACATTGCTCATTTTTTAATGTGAGAGAGGTGATATTGACTACATTTATTATATTTGTGGTTATTGATGAGTCTATATTTAAGCCAAGTCTAAGTCAAGTTCATGGATTGAACTCAAATCATCAAAAGGTAGGTCAATTTCAGGTAAATGTCTCAGTCTAATCTAAATCTCAAGAGTCCAAGAAGATTAATGCACGTAAGCAATAAACATTGGAATAGTCATTACTCGAAGATAGCATATATCTTTAATTGTAGCTTTCTTCCCCGAAAGACTAATAGCGTGACCTTCACGTCACTGCCTCAGCTAGAACTCTATGTCTATAAATTGTAAGTACTCTCTACACATAAGAGAGACAAACAACTATCTCTCACTCAAAAATAGGAGAAAACATTCATTAAAACGGTGATACCACTTGGCAAGGTGATGTGGTATCACCAACTAATAGTATTAAAACAAATAAGCACATGAAATCCACAAAAATCAATAACTAACCTGTCATATAAATAAATAGATTTCCACCCTCCTGTCATGTAAGTTCAAGTGGGGTTCACCTTTCCCATTTGAAGTTTTATTATTGGTAGGTGATACCATGTCATCAATGGTGACGTGATATCACCGTTGCATTCAATATTTACTCCAAAAAGAGACACAACTATCTCTCACATAGAGAGATACCTCACCTTGAGCGTACTTTTGTTCTCTTGCTCTCTCCTACTACCTTATACCCTCTAATTAATAGAGTTTCACGACCACTATTGTCGTCTTCTATAGTTACGTCCCCCGACCCAATCACCCAATTTATGTCTTATTATTAACTGTTTCATTAATTGTCTGCATCATATACTCGACTGATTTGATTGTGCATAAATCCAATTTTGTACATCATCAGTTACTTTTATTATATTTGTGAGTTTTTTTTATCACTGTTGTTGTACATCAAAAAATGATAAAAATAGTTATTACAACAGTATTGAAAATGTCCACAAATTTAGTAAAAACACTTACAAATGTTGCAAATTTTTTGTACTAAAGAAAAATGATAAAAATAGTTATCACAAATTTGGTAAAAACATCCATAATAATAACACAAACATCCATAAAATAATAAATTTTTTAGTTATAAAATGACCCACAATAATTATAAAAATAACCATTAAAATTGTAAAAATTAAATGTACAATACCAAAATTATTACTTCGATACCGTCGTCAAATCTTAAACTGTTAGAACTGACACTTTTGAGAAATATTTTTGTGGTTCATAATAATAATAATAATAAAAAAAAGGAAATATTTGTAGGGTTTTTGGTCTATATGATTGTTTGGAACACATCCTGGCAGAGTTGAGTAATAGATCCTGAATCAACATTTCTGATGCCTTTTCATCAGCCTTATTGTACATATCAACCATGTTAAATGCATATTTTAACGAGTAATATTATTGATATATAACAAATTAACTTAATTTATTGATATAATAATGTATTTAAGTGTGAAATCCCAATAAAAAATTTAAAAATTATAGTTATAATAATATTATTAAATTATGTCACTGTCACATCATTAAATTAAAAAATTACATTGCAATTATATTACTCTATATACACTACCATGCATAGCTGTGAGAGAGAGAGAGAGAGAGAGATAATGCTTTGCTAGTCCAAGGAAGAGAGTTAATGGTTTGCAAGTACAAGGTTCTATGACTTGATTAAAAACCATCTATAGCTAAAATGAAAAGGACATGTATCCAATTGTTCAGGTTTTTGCCAACCAAATGAAGGCAGGAGTGTTAGATGGTTACTTGTTCATGGGTTTTTCTGAGAGACTCAAAATGGATTCAGTACTGGTAGTAGCTGGACTTCTATCATTCTTTTACATTTTTACTTGTTTATGTTATTCCTAGAGCATCATTGTTGAGCTATAGATGGTTTCTAATTAAGATGGAAAAAAAAAATTGAAATTTATTTTTAAAACATTCGTCAAAATATATCGAAACATAGGTCGAAGCATGTTGAAACACTTTAAAACCTATCGAAACATAGGAATTTTAATATTCAATTAATAATTCATTTCGATTTTCATAATAACGGAAAACGTTTTGAAAGCGAAATTTAGTCCCTTATCTCATACTAGTACAAATACAGGGAACAAATTTATGTCATCAATGGCAACTTATTTCAAACCAACTACCTTGCTGCATTAACTTAGGAAACATAAAACACCCATGCAGAGGTTTGCACTCACAGGACAAAAGCAAATATATAGAGAGTAGATATACAAATAGAGAATCGACCGACCAACCTTGCAATTGTTTATACAATTTGTGCAAGTGTTTGCATTAGCACCCACCAAAACATCAAAAGCAAATGCAACGGATTTCAGAATTGAGAATGCAAGAGGGGTCTTCAAGAACCTCACAGCGACTTCTGAACCATCACAGCNCAAAAAAAAAAAGTGAGAAAAGACATTCCAACTAAAATTTAGGGAGTTGTTTACGATATCGAAAAAAAAAAACAAATCGTACTAATATTTATTATTTTTATAGGTATTTTTATTATTATTAGATGTATTTTTATTATTGTTGTGATATCGAAAAAAATAATAAAAATAGTAACTAAAACAATGGTAAAAACACCAAAAAAAGTGGTATTTTTTTTGTATCGAAAAAAATATAATAAAANTGTGGATGTCTAGGAGAATGTGAGTACGTGAGTGTGGAAGTGTATACTATATATACTCTGCAAAAGAAAGACAACATATTAGTGGTTCGCCTTAACCGAATAACTAAGGTTACGTATATTATGAGGAAGACTCTTGTTCTTTANAAATACTTACAACAATAGTGACAAAAAAATCCACAAAAGTGATTAAAAATTTGTTTTAAAAATATTCATAGAAATTATAAAAACATTCATAAAAATAATAATTTTTAGAAATACAGTACCGAATTTTTTTATTCAATACCATAATCAAGTCCAAAATTTAGAAGGGGTCGTTTTTCTTTGTACTTTGTTTCATGTGAATCCCAATGTGTTTCCTATTTAAAGTAATTTATATGAAAAGCTTTATTTAAATCAATGTTTATAATTTTAAAAAAATGTTGCATTAAAAACATAATTTAAACCATGTTCTATAAAAGACTAACCTTAAATAAATTTATACTACTTATAAATGTCGGCATCTATAAAAAAAAATTTAATTTNCCCATGCAGAGGTTTGCACTCACAGGACAAAAGCAAATATATAGAGAGTAGATATACAAATAGAGAATCGACCGACCAACCTTGCAATTGTTTATACAATTTGTGCAAGTGTTTGCATTAGCACCCACCAAAACATCAAAAGCAAATGCAACGGATTTCAGAATTGAGAATGCAAGAGGGGTCTTCAAGAACCTCACAGCGACTTCTGAACCATCACAGCGAGCTTTAAGAGACAAAACCATTGATGGTGCTCGAAATTAACTTGACTGGGTTGCAGCGGGTGTGTGGATGTCTAGGAGAATGTGAGTACGTGAGTGTGGAAGTGTATACTATATATACTCTGCAAAAGAAAGACAACATATTAGTGGTTCGCCTTAACCGAATAACTAAGGTTACGTATATTATGAGGAAGACTCTTGTTCTTTAAGAATTGTATTGCATGAGAAAGAAAGTTGGTTATTACACAGGGTGTTTGGATTGAAGCCTTTACAAGACATTGTCTAGGTTTTACTTGGTGGCTTACAGGATTACTCTTTTGTGCATTGTAGCCTTGTTAGCTATTTATATAACTGGTAGTTAGGATTTCGTGTTTGTCCTTTTTCATTGATTCTGTGGTCTTTTTTGTGTTTGTCTTTATCCTGATGGTGTGATATCTAAAGTTTTTCTGAATTCACTACTCGCCGATTATAATATTTAATTCATCTCCATTACATGTGGGTTTTTGTTTATCAGAGCCGTCAATTAATATTCTTGTGTTCTCTATTCACATGTCACACTGCAACTTTTGCAGACTGGCCCTATACTAGGCTCCTGAGTTCCGAACTTGTTATCGTGTC